TGAGGTTTGGGACATTTGGGAAGATTCAGAGCCAGCTGGTTAAGTAAAACAGCCTGGGCCTGGCACATGGACCCTGGCGCCCTCACCATGGTCATCCATTACCTGCGCCATCACCCGTGTGATCCAGGCTTCAGTGCGCCTGGCGCTGCAAGGGAACAGCACGGACATAAGGTGCCTCCCTCACCGAGCTTGTGCACCTGCGTCCTGTCCTCTTCACGCAGCATCTCTATGTCCAGAGGAGGTGTTGTCTGGCATCCAGGTGGTGCTCGAGGAAAGGGCCAACAGGCCGCCTGCTGCCTCGGGGCGTGTGCGCCAAGGAGGCAGGGAGGAAAGTCAGGGGAGCTGTGCGGCTGGGGCTGGTGGGGCTTGTGGGGCGGCCTCCGATCCCAGAACCCAAGAAAGCCTCCCTGCCCCAGACCGCCTCAGCCCCAGGCAGGAGGGGCAGGGGCCCCGGGCGCGAGGGCAGAGGTGGGTGCGCTGCTCCAGGGCTTCGGAGGCCGGGTGCCTCCCTGACCGCGGGATTCTCTTCCGCGCAGCAGTTCGCGTGCCCAAGGCGACCCCTGGCGGTCACGACGGTAACGACAGTCGCAGCGGCGGTCCTCCAAGCCGCAGGCTCAGCAGCTTGGCCAGAACCCGGGCTGTGCTGAGGGGTGGACAGGCTCCCCTAAGAGGGGAGTGGGGTGGAAGGGTGCAGAAAGGCACCCCCAAAATACTGCCTTCCAAAGGACTAGGGACAGAGGTTGGCTCACAAGGAGAGTCGCCTTCAGATTCCAAGTGCACAGGGCTCGGCTTCATGGCCTCCTTCCCACACTCAGGCTTTCTGGCTTTTTTTTTCTTTAATTAAAGATTTTATTTATTTATTCATGAGACACACACACACACACACACACAGAGTCAGAGACACAGAGGGAAAAGCAGGTTCCATGCAGGGAACCCGATGTGGGACTCGATCTCGGGACTCCAGGATCACACCCTGGGCCAAAGTCAGATGCTCAGTCGCTGAGCCATTCAGGCGTCTCCAGGCTTTCTGGCTTTTAACAGAGACTTGACCATTACTGTATAACGTTGCACAGGTCACTTAACCTCTCTGAGCCCTGGGAAATGCCCCTGTGAAAAATGGGGATAATCCTAAAACCAGTGCCTAGCATTAGTGTTACTTATATTTTGTTTACTCCAGATTATTGATTTAACACCCATCGATCAACCCCTGGGGAGGTGTGCGGGCAGCCCCAGGCCTGTCTCTGGCCTAGATCTCTGCTAAGGGGAAGCTGTCATTGAAGCCTGCACACCAGGGGAGGCTGGTAGGTGAGCTGGGGCCCTCCCCCATGCCCCTGACTCACCTAGCTCTCCCCCCACCTTTCTGGCCACTCCTCCAAGCCACCGAGGACCCTGCTCCTAGAACTGCCATTGGCCACCCCATCCACTACCACTGTGACTCCCAACCCAGTTTTCAGTCCTGGGCTCTGTCTCCAGGCCAAGTGCCTCTTCTATTTGTGTCCTGAAAGTAGCCCCTTCCTGGACTTAAGATCTCTGTACAGAAGAATCCTCTTAAACACCTTTTACCAGTAATCATAATTCTCTGAAGGCTTATCATGTATTAGATCCTGTGATATGTTCTTTACATGTATTTTGTCAGTTAACCCTCAGAACACCGTATGGGGTAGGGTCTAGTATCCCATTTCATTGGAGAGGAAACAGAGGCTGTGAGTTTTCTGTGAGAGTAAGTGATCTGCTGGAAGTCATGGCAGGGTAGGATTTGAACCCTCTGGCCCATGCTTTGAACCACCATGCTTAATAGAGGCCCCACAAGCTCCCTTCCCCTAACTGGGGTACCCTTTCCTTGCCAAGATTCAGGCAGCCCCTATTCCAGCAGCTCTGGGTGGGGAAGGATTTGGCCAGCCAGTTGGAGGATGGATGTGTGGGAGGATCATTCTTTTTTTTTTAATTAATTAATTAATTAATTAATTAATTAATTTATGATAGTCACAGCGAGAGAGAGAGAGGCAGAGACACAGGCAGAGGGAGAAGCAGGCTCCATGCATCGGGAGCCTGATGTGGGATTCGATCCCGGTCGCCAGGATCGCGCCCTGGGCCAAAGGCAGGCGCCAAACCGCTGCGCCACCCAGGGATCCCTGGGAGGATCATTCTAATCTTAAAATGGAAGTTTCCCACTTTCTCATTTTATGGATGAGGGCACTGAGACGCCAGGAAGGCTTTGTGCAGGAGGTGCCCCTTGAAACCTGAACTATGAACATGAGTTGGCCAAAGCGTAGAGGAAGAATGTTCCAGACTGGGACTCCCAGTCTGTAAGACAACACAGGGTAAGGCTGTCTAGACTGCTTTCTGTGCCTTAGTCTTCCCACCTGTAAAATGAGCACCATGAAGAAGCTTGGGATATGGGGAGATTAAGGGCCAGCCGGTGTCTGAGCCGGTAAGCCACAGAGCTGGGATTGGAATCCAGCCTTGAACCGCAGTACCTGACCTGCTGCTTTCTGTGTGTTTCTCATACATCAGGCTTTTCTGGCTGCTACCGGTGCCAGCTGCTTGGAGCTGGGCCCGAGGCTGGCATTTCCGGGGCGTGGCCCTCTGCCAAGATTTCCTTTCTTGAAGACCCCCCCACCCACCAGGGTTCAGCATGAGCTTTGCACTAACCCGGGAGAGGCATTCTGATGCCTTTGGGAAGACGGTGGCTATAAAAGGCTCCAGTACTCTTTCATCTTTGAACTTTGTCCTGGGGAGATAAGCAAGTCCAAAACACGAAACACCCTTGGATGCAAGCCATCAGGCTCATACATTCCCCATCTCCTGCCTGCCTGCTTTGGAGAACTCTTGAAGAGTGAAAGGGTGTGGGGTGGGCCACCCTAAATTCCTGGCATATGAGTTGGTCTCCTGTGGGCTCAGGGACCCAGACAAAAGCCTTATCACAAAGCAAAAAGGATCCCTTTGTTTCACAGATTCCTCCCACCGTGTGTTTGGTCAGCATCCTTAGGACAAAGCCAGAGGGGGGAAAAATTGAATTCAGGCTTGCCTTGAGCCACAGAACAGTTTGACTCCCTCTTCGACTTATGATTTGCCATTGTGAGGAGGAAAAAAAAATTAGCTAAACAAGATGTGTTTCTGGGAGAGAGTTTTCATTAGTGGAATATCCTGATTGCAAAGCCCCTTCCCCTTCCAAGTTAGTGGGGATTTGAAAAGATCCCATTCCTTTCCTAGACCTTGTTTCCATCAGATGGAGAATTAAGCCCAAAGAGCGCTTAAATTAATGAGCTTGTTTCCCATTTTAACATACAAATTGGGGGGCGGGTGCGTGGCAACAAGAGTCAACCATTCATTTTGCCATTTCCGTTTATTCTTCTAATTTTTAGGGCTGTGCAATTTTTAGGGGAAATTAAATCCCTAGTGCCTGACTCATTTTACACCAGGCTCATCAAGATGTGGCTTTCGAGGCCGCTTTGAAGTCTCAAGACTAGACGTGTGGTCAAGGGCCCACATGCCTCTAAGTGCACTGGAAGCAGACATGGTGATACATGTTTCCTTCTTGGTGGCGCTGCCGGGGAGGAGGGCTTCGGGGCGGCGGGGGGGAAGCTGGCTGAGGGAGAGGCAGGCCTCGGGGCCTGGGAGGGAATGAGGCCTTCTCTGGGCGGAGGGTCCCTGCAGGTCCGTGCCGTCTGCTCGAACCTCTGTTGGCCCCTAACCAGGGATGCCCCATGAGCTCCTGGTAGGAAAGGGGCAAAGTCAACAGGGAAAAGCCAGAAAGGGCCTGGTGCCTAGTTTTAAAGTCACCGACGTGCTGGCACAGACAACAGCCTGTGCCAACGGCAGGGAGCCCACAGGAACGGACAGGTAAGAGCGGCCCAGACGGTCTAGCCAGACCAGCAGAGGGTGCCCGGATTCACCTGGGTTATTTGTGATGTGACAGGCAGGGGCCCACCCTCTGGGGCAGCCCTGGCTAATGTCATCTCTGGTGGATGTTGGTCACGGAGAGCAGCACCCAAGGCTCCCAGCTCCCCACTAGTGAGACTGCATGAGATCCTCACAACCACTGGGGAGCATGGGCTGAGAGGTGAAGCAGCCTCCCCAAGGCCATACGCCACCGAGGGGCAGAGCCAGTGTTCACACTCTACCAGATGCCCAAGTCCAGCTGTGAACACAGAAGTGCTGCCTCCCTGACAAAAGCCAGCCAGACTTCAGGGTATTGAAACCAGTGGCTGTGGCCCGGTGCTCCCCCATGAGCAAGGTCAGCATCGCTAGGCAGAGCCTGCGCCCCCCTCCCTCCAAGCCCAGAGACCCCTTGGGACTCCAGGGACAGTCATTCTCGGCCCAGACCCATAAATAAGGGTGCTCCCTCCAGAAGGAAGGGCAAGGGAAAACCTTTCCTCCCACCTCAGAGGTAAACAAGCCTCCATCCTGATCAACAATCGGAGCAAGGAAGAAACACCCAAAAGGAATCCAGTCTTCCTTCCTTGACTTTCCCTCTACCCCTCACCACCCGTGGAGGAGGGCTAGGAACCCAGGAGGGACCTCCAGGGGCTTATATGGGGGCTCCCGGTGCCCTTCCCTCTGTGTTCCTGCTCTCATCGAGGTATAACCAGGAAGGCAGAGCTTCCACTTTGTTGTCCAATGGCAGTGGGGGCAACAGGTGACAGAGCTTCTTGTTTGAGTCAACTCCCTAAAATGACCATTTCTCACGTCACTGGGAAAAAGGCTTTCTCTCCCAGAGGTGGTGTTAGATGTTGCGGCCCATGTGCCCCTTCGCCCAGTGCCCTCTCCACCAGGCCCCAGCCGCTGGACTGCCTGGACTCCCCTGGTGATACACGCGCAGTGGGGGGCTCGCAGGAAAGCCAGCCCCCCCCCCCCCCCGCCCCGCAAACAGAGGCAAGGCTCGCTGTCAGAACAAGTTGCTAATCTGCGTCCTTTCGTCCTTCCGGCCAGGGGTAGGGAGAGCTGGTCAGAGACTCAAACGGTTTATTCAGAAACAACATCTTCTAAGGACACCAAGGGAGCTTGACAGAGCAAACATTTAATAAGTTATAAGATACAATTTACAGTCGGCATTTGATTCCAGTTTCTGCTTCCATGTCCCCGTTTACAAAACCTGTGGCCCTTTCACATTAGGCTTCAGGCTGCTCCGGTTTCTAAGAGGTGGGCTACTGCCAACACCTGCCCCCAGCTGCTACATCTTGGTGACGGTCCCCTCCCTTGCTCCCTCCCTGTCCCATCCACGGAGGCGCTCATGACAAGAGCAGCCACTTCCTTGAGATGGAGCAGCAAATCAAAAAGCTCTGCCTGCCGAGACAACGCCATACACCCAGGCCCTACAATCAGGCAGTGTCCCCGAATGCTTTAACTTTATTCCAAAGCCAGCTCAGGTCTGCAGAAAGGGATGCAAAATGCCTTACACCCCGTTTTTGGAATTTTGCACCTGTACATTGCTTTCCAAACAGCTTCAGGTACTGTGGTCAGGGCCAAATGAATACATAGCCACCATTAGCTATGTGGCTTCCACTATTTCTGCCCAATGACAGAAGACCCCCCCCCAATGTCCTGACTTTGAGGCCAAAGGTCAGCAGGACTTCCATTCTTTCCTGTCTATAATCCTTTTCCAAGAAGCAATCCCACAGCTGACTGGAGGTGGGTTGGAGTGTTCTGTCCCGTGACAGGCCTTCCGCAGACAGGGACGCTGACATAGGGACCCACCTGCGGTCACTTCGAACATGTTGGCAAGACTCAGTGGTCTGACAGATGGCTGGAGTGTGTGTTAAGAACAAAGGCTCGTGCTGTTTTAAAAAAAAAAGGTCTTTGGCAGGAGGGGCTGCTTGCCACAGTAGAATTTCCTCAGACCCAGAGACTTCAATGGCCTTTAAAGACAAAAGCAAAAATGTGGCTGCCGAAATGGGCACATGTTACAACTTTGCAGGGAGATACTCAGCAGAATGAGGGGAGATGCATCAGAGAGCATTGAGGTCACTCTGCCACCATGTAGCCCACTGCCCTCTGAGACATGTAACAAGGCCACAAACAGGTGGGGGTGTGGAGATGAGTAATGTCGAAACAATGGCATCTGCCTCAGAGCCTTTTATGTGATAGGGCGCTGGAGAGATGAAGCTGGTTTTAAGTCATCTTCTTTTCTAAATCACAGCCTAAACTAGGTCGCCTCTTTGCCCTGTCCCTTCCCTGCCAGTCTTGTTTCAGATATGGGTTACCAATATCATTTTTTAAAAACGTCAATCTTGTGGGTGAACTTGGTCTGTCTGCAGGGGGTGATCTGTGCCAACAAGAGATGAGATTTGAACCAAGTGTGCATGGAAATCTTCTCAGCCCACAGCATGAGTTTGCATTTCTTAAGAGTCCCCAACACGTCCCCAAAGAGTCAAGTCTAGGACTTATTTCTCAAGGCACTTTAGAACGGCAATGTTTTCGGGATGGGTTTTCAGACCCACAAACAGCCTGGAGGAAAACTTTGTATAAAACAAGTTACAAACAAGCAACAAAAGCAACCACCAGAACTCCTCCCAGGGTTTGACGAGAACCGTTTTAAGGCACCGTGACGTGGAAGGGGCTGCCGGGGATGTGTTCCTCTCCCCACTTCACGGCCAGAATGTAATCTCCCTTCTCCTTGACGACATATGTGACATTGTATTGTTGGTTGCCCACGTGCTTCATGGAGACCTCTTCACAGGGGGTGGTTGGCCCATGGACACCAATCAACAGCATGTTGGAACCTGGGAGGCAAAAAAAAAAAAAGGTGGTTTACTCTGTCAGGATGCATCATGCAAGGCAGAGGAAAGGGAGGGGATATGGGAGACAAAGGAAATATACCAGCTGTTATCTGTTGAGATAATGATGAGATAATGATGCTGGGACCTCTAAGAGGTGGGACGGCATGGCAATTACTAATGTAGACTCAGAGCTCAGTGGCGTGGGTTCAAATCCCTGCCTGCCACTTCCTAGCTGGGTGGCCTTGGATGTGGGACTTTGCCTCTCTCTGGCTTAGCTTGCCCATCTGTAAACAGGAGTTGACACTAGACCTACTCCATGGGATTGCTCAGAGGTTTACAGAAGTTATATGTGAAGCCCCTAGCTTGTAGTAAGGGCTACGTAAGTGATGGCTACTCTGATCTCATTTATTCTCATAAGAAACTTAAGGTGACTTTATTATTCGCATTTTAGACAAGAAGAAACTGACTTTTAGAAAAAGATTTAGTAACTTTCCCAAGATCACACGGCTAAATTTGGGGTAGGAAGGCGGGGAGGGAAGGGAAGGAGAGCCAGGTTTCCAGCTCCGATGTGCCAGATGCCAGAACCCAGGCAACCAACCACTGACACTCAAATAAATACCCAAGTTTAAACTGCAATTAAAGCAATTATTGGCAGAGAAGGGGCCAGGTTCCTGACTTAGTTTGCCCATCTATAATGGGGGTAAATGCCATCTTCCCTGTCTACTTTGAGGGCATTTGAAAGAATCAAGGGGCATAAGAAAGGAAAATCATTTTAAAATATTAAGTGCAGGAATGGGGGACTCCTGGGTGGTTCAGCAGTTGAGCGTCTGCCTTTGGCGCAGAGTGTGATCCTGGAGCCCTGGGATCGAGTTCCACATTGGGCTCCCTGCATGGAGCCTGCTTCTCTCTCTGCCTGTGTCTCTGCTTCTCTCTCTGTGTATCTCTCATGAATAAATAAAATCTTAAAAAAAAAATGCAGGAATGGGGTAATGAACAAGGTTACTTGTAAATGTTTGGGTTGCATGGGTAGGTGGGCCCTGCAGGGAAGTCGAAAGTTAGCAGAGGGTGCTTAGCCTGCCTCCACCCTGACCCCTGGGCAGGACCAGGATACCTACCGGCTTTGCTGCAGTCCACCAAGAAGGAGCTCTTTTGACCCACAAACGCCTTTGAGAGCCCTGCCCCCTTGGAGGTCACCTTGCTGGCGTCTGAGGATGCCTTGGGGATGGCACTGTAACAGGTCTCTATGGATGACCTGGTCACGGACTCCACCAGAATGGATGAGGTCTCATTGGCTGAGCCAGGGCTGACCAGACGCTGGCCTAGAACATGGAAGGGAGAGGAGGCAGGAGTGAACGGCCAGAGCAAGTGGGTCCTCTCAGCTAGAAGAGGAGAGAGACCCGGGCAGAAGCCACAGGAAAGTCCATGCACCCTAAACACCGGATCCAGTCCATGCACCTGGATCTAAGCATTACCATTTCCCCATCTTAACCCCATAATGTCTTCCAAAACCCAGGGGTCCCACCCCACACAATGAGGCAAATGACAAAGCCTGGAAATCCCTCCCACATAACGCCATGCCACTCAGTAGAAGTCATTTCATATCTTCACTGATATAAAATACCCTTATGTATAAATAGTGTAAAAGTAATGTTACATGTTGGGGAGAACATATAACAAAATAATAAGAATGGTTCTCTGCATGTGAAAGGATGATTTTTTCTATCTGAATCTTCTAATGTTTCTGCAATGAAGCTATACTCTCCTCCAACAGTGAACCAAGCAGGGACACGTAGAAGGGATCTACCACAGTATGTATGGTGATAACCTCGGGCCAGGGGCTGTGAGGTGCTTTTGACTGGTATTTTTTCTAGTGTTCTGAAGGAGGCACATTTTTATAAATTTAATAAAACCTTTTGATTATTTTAGAAGTGAAGGTTAGAAATGAGATTTTTCAGGTCCTGTTCTAAACAAATATGTAAGATTTAAAATATGTAAATATTTTTTCTTTTCTGTTAAAAACAGAAAACATGATTTTTCAACTTCTACCCCCCCTCCTTATTATCCTGTAGGGGGAGGATGCTAGCATATATCCATGGGATTCTAAAGATGTTTATTCCCCTGACATGTCATACCCTTTCTTTATATTCAAGATTCAAAGTAAATTCAATACAGGTAAAATTACCCAGTTTCTAGTATCAAGGAACTCCGTTGATAATCTGACAAGATATGCTCCACTGGGAAAAAGAGTCATATCAAAGCTGTTTGGCTGTTACCTGTCACCTTGGCCTTGAAAGGACTGCCCACAATGTGGTTGGGCCCGCCATATTTGACGCCAATCAGGTAGTTTCCAGGAGCCATGGGAGTGTACATGACTTTGTACCCTTCTGGGGTTTCCTGGCAATCCATTTTAACCTTGGACGGGCCTTCAATGGTGACAGATAATGTCCCTGGCCCTGCTCGGGTGGTGTTGATGAAAAATTCAGACTGGATACCTGGGAGAAAGGAAGAGACAATGTCGTATTGGTTTGGAGGGATGAGGGGGTGTGGCTCAAGGAACTTTCCCAGGGGCACTGAAGCAGTGATGGGGGTCCTTCACAGAGGGGTGGCCTTGGTAGTGGGCAAACCCACTGGTGCTAGCTCCTGCTCCTCACAGGCCCTGGGGGCAGTAACTCCCTTTCCAAGACAGAGGCAGGAGTGCGGCTGACATTTCGCCCACCAGCACCAACCAGCCAGGACACTCTGTTCTCTTCTCTGGGCAGGAGCAGTGGCCGAGAGCAAGAAGCCCAAGTCTTCATTGTGAGCCTGAAGCGCTGTTTCAGCTGCCAGGGCCCAGCCCTGCCTCCGGGAGGTGGGGGGTGCGTGGGCCCCTCTGACCTTTCCCTTTTCCTCTGAGTGGACTTGGAGAAGCTGAGCAGGCCCAGCATCTTCCCCCACAGGCTCTTTGGCCCCGACACCATGCTAAAGACCAGGGCAGCAGCTACAATGGGCCAACCCCCCACTTTGCCATGGACACTAGCAATAAGAACAGGGTCAAAACAACAGTTCCTGCTAACTGAGCAATACTTGCACCACTCAGGCTCCAGATCCCACGGTTAGCATCATGCTATGTGCCCAGTGATTCCCGTTTAACAAATGACAGAGGCTCAGGGAGGTTCGGGCACTTGCCAGTCAGCGTTACAAACTAGGAAATTGCTAGAACTGGGATGTGAACAAGTCTGTGTGGTTCTGGAGCCACCTGCCTGGCCTGTGGGGGCCTCCTGCATGGACATCCTGCCTTCTGACAAAAGAAAAGCTGGGCCAACCACTGACCAATGACCGTGGTGCATTCCTGCCGGAGCTCAATGCCCTGCAAAAGCCTCCACTCTTTCAGGCCCATTTCCAGTCCAGAGGCGGGTGAGGTGGTCTCAAAGATCTGCCCTCTATGGGCCATCCCTGGCACAGCATCCTTGTGCAGGGCAGTGCTTCCTTCAGAGCCCTGGATGCCGCCCCAGCTGGGAACTATTTGGGTTTAATTATAGCTCCTAGGCCAGAGAAAGAATTATTGTTCTGGCTATCAATAAGACAAAGGCGCTGCTATCGTGCAGCCCTCAAACACAACCCAGCTGCTTCTGGAAGCTCCTGAGGCTCCTGTCCCAGGCACCAGCCCCCACCCGACTATCTCAACCTTGTTTCTAAACCGTGCAGCCAAGAAGCCCCTCATGCAGCAGCTGCCGAGCGAGGCTGTGCAGGGAAGGGAGGGGTGGCGCACGACAAGGGACGGCATTTCCAGGAAGTAGCTGCAAGGCGATGATAAGGAAAGATATTTTTAAAGTGAAGATGAAAAGACCGACCCGGCTGTAGTGGAAAGAAGCCCAATCCATTTTAACAAGTTGCACCCTTCTTGAGAAAGATCGTGATCCGTGAATCCTGGCCCTGAGGGCCTGGAGAGGCAGGGGAGATGAGGTGGGAAAAGGGAAATTAGGACTTACAGGGCAAGAGCCACCTTGAACAACCTATCAGGAGGGCTCCCCTACTCTTCCCATTTTACAGGAAGGAAGTGGAGGCTCGGTGAGGTCAGATCCTTTGCTCCAGGCCACACAGCTAGGCAATGGCAGAACTGGGATTTAAACACAAGATCTGCTCAATCTGGAGCTAAGGCACTTACCTGAGGGACGTGAGGAGAAAGAAAATCCACGTGCAGGAGTCCCTCTGACCGCTGCTTCCAGCTAGAACCAATACGATACCCCAAACATCTCTGGGCCTGGCAGTCTCCGTGCCCCCGCCCCCCAACTCTGTGTACGCACAGCCGAGTCCCTGGGGGGTTAATGCAAGTTTACTGCAGCCCTACTGCATCGTGAAGGTGGGCGAGGGGGCGGGGGAGGGAAGGAGGCTCTTCTCTTCCACCCTGTGCACACTGGGGTTCCTGGAGCATTTTATCAGGAAGGCTGCTCTTCCAATCCAGAGCGTCTAGAACTCCCTGGTCTAATGCCTGACCTCTGAACTCCTCTGCAGCAGACAGTTCCACCCCAAATTCTCCACATTCCCCTGCTCCCAAACCTGCAAAACGGACCATTTAAAGCTCAAGCCAAGAGATACAACAAGCCCACCCATAAAAACACAGGGAAGTTTGCTTTATTCTGGAGGTCAGGGTGCCAGGCCCTCCAGCAGCCAAGCACAGATACCTTTTCATTCCATGCACACTGCAGCTGTGTAATCTTGGGATGGATATTTGGGAAAAGACTTGGGAGCGGGAGGGCTAGAAAAACAAGACGCCTTCCCCTTGACAAGAGCAATATTTACACAGGGTTTGAAACAGGCATGCTCTGTACCTCTCCCTCCTGCCTGTGAGTTGCCCTGTAAGACTGGCTCCTTCTCTCTGTGGCATCCAGTTCTTGCAAAGCACAGCTTGAAACCCAAGCTCCCGAGAAGGCCTGCAAACAGCCAAGTGGAAGCACGAGAGGCCCCGAAGGCAGCAGGTGTGACCCAGCAGGAGGGTAAGGTGGCTGCTGGCAGCTGCAGGAGACCTCAGTGGCTGCTGTGGGACCTGGACCAAGGTGTGTGTGGTTCCAAGCGCCAGGAGGCCCCCGCATGGTCTTTAATGGTGGGTAGCTTGCCAGGGACCACATGCCTGTACTACTGCCTGGGAACCATTCCAGGCAGCTGGGAGAACAGGGGTCCCCACAAAGTGGGCCAGGGATGCAGTTACTACTTCTGGGGGAGTCAGCCACTTAGAAAGGCAGCAAACCTCCAGGGTTAAGGGCAGAGGCTTTGAGGTCACGGACCTGGGCTGATTCCTGGTTTGCCCCCTCCCAGCTAAGTAAGCTTAGGGAGGACTCAGCCTTTCTGAGCCTCACTTTCTTCACCTATAAAATGGAATGGCATAGGGTGAAGTGTTACCATGCCCCTTCTAAGGGCAAGCTGCGGGCCCAGAGTTCAGCGTGGAGCCAGACTGGATGGGCCTTGGGAGTCTAGAAGCACTCAGGCCACCCCTGTGGGTGGTTCTGCCGAGGCCACTGCTTTGACCAGAGCTTGGGGCGGCACGCCAGCCTGTCAGCTACCCCTGTACCTGGGCAGGGCCCCTTGGCCACTTAGGACACTGGCTCCTTAGGGCTGGATGCCATGTAACCGCAACCACTCATCTCCTCGCCCTTGGCGAGGCGGGTCTGCTCTGTCCAACGCACTGGATCAGGGGGAGACTAGAGCAGAATGTGTACACGCAAGGGACTCAAGCCGGGACCGGGCTGCCTTCCAAAGGCCCAACGTAACACCCAGTGCAAACCGTATCCCAGTGAGTCCGTGGCTATGGACATGCCCTGCAGAGAAGTATGAGTAGACAAGCTGGCACTCCGTACCAGTGACCCACCCGATACCCACCTCTTGGGTCACAGTACAAATACTAACTACAGCCATCACAGAAAAGTTCTTTAAGATGTTAAGTGAAAAATGTTGTACAACAATACGTGCACCAAGATTATTTCTGTAAAATAAAAGTAAAACTGTACATCAATCTTTTTAACAAAGCAACTAGCTAAGCAACCAAGTCAAGCAGAAGGATGCAGACACAGGCAGTTGGAAGGTCCTCCCCTGAACCATCAGTGGTGTTTCCTCCTGGGTCTAGATGGAGGGAGGGAGAAGCAAAGAGATGGAGCCAGTTTCATTTATATCCATCCCTGCCACCTCTTTCACAATCCCATGTGTCCCTTCCATGGCAAAGACTAAAGACACATTGTAACAAGTCCAAAAAGCTCTAGAATTCTTTGCCACAGTCGTTTTTCCTCTTCCCTAAGGACCAGAAACTATAAGGAGGAGGCAGGCCGTGATAGGTCCTACTGCCAACTGAAGGCTGTTTCTGTGAGCCTGGGGACCGCTGAAGGAACTGAGGAGACTTCCCTGGAGGCCCGTTACACGCACTGAATCCTCTGCAGGCAAAGAAACCCTCAAAAGCAAAGACGGGGCGCTGTATTTCCTCACAATCAGTGTCAAGGCACTTGGCCAAGGAAGACAGGCGACACACAGCACACAGTAATGAGGTGTGATAACACGGTCATCAAGCCCTTGCTCGCGGGTCAAACCACATGTCCCAAAACAACTCTGGAGATCAAGAGCTCGAGAGTGTACATCATTACAGCTTCCCTGGGGGAGTGTGGAAAGAGCTTCTGAAGCCTTGAAGAGCTCCAGCTGGCTCTGCCCCTGGAGCTGCCTCAGTTAAAGATGAGAGGCAGAGGTAGTGTGTTACCTGTGGTGCCCCCCTCAAGCCCGGCACCATAGGCGGACACCAGGGCAGGGTTCCCCGCTTGTCCTGGCTCCCCGACGCGCACTTTGAAGGGGCTTCCAACCACGTGGCTCCCGTTGAACTTGACGTCGATCGTGTGGATGCCGTTCTCATGGGGGATGAAGCGAACGGCGTACTTGTCTAGGAGAGTGAGTAAAATACAGGGTAAAGCTGAGTACGTGGACACCACCAAGTGAGGTGAGGACAAAGGATGGAAGGCCGGCCTGAGATGGTGAATTTTAAATCATTAATAAGACAACAGCTCTACTGGATGCCTGGCACCCAATATGCTGGATTTCAAAACCAGATGAACCTATTTGTGTGTCCCTTGTCAACCCTTTGGGAAATGCATCCAAATCTCAAATTCTAGGTTTCATCTTCTGTGATATCTGCCTCGGGAGAATATTTCCTTTGTGAAAAGCTCACTTCTCACAGTTTCCCTGTTTGGCAACTTGAAGGGAAAAGAAATGGTTCTGAATAAAGCTCTAAGCTAGTGACGGCCCCCCAGGGCAACAGCCAGGTTTTTCACAGTGTGTGTGGATCATGGCATGTGCCAAGATAATTTGTCCACTGAAACAGACGCCAACCATAGCCATCCGTCATGTACCACCCAACTATCTCTTCCTCCTTGAAGCCCTCCCACCTGGGATGCAGACTGCCTGTTGTACCTCTCCAGATGTCCACCTTCACTGAACACATCACAGGACACATAGTAAATGCCCGATAAGGGCAGTGATCACAGGGCCCTTCCTCATGCATCGGGGCCCACATTCAATGTCCAGGCCTCATCAAGGCAGAAACTATTTTTCTCTCCTGCTCCTTTATCGTTTGGTTCTCTATTCCCCTGGGGTCTTGGTGACCACCTGGGGTCCTCCCTAGGAGACTGCAGGCTTTTGACCACCAGGTCCCCACCCCACTCTGAGCTCCTCTGAGGGCAGGCATCGTGTCCTCCCAAGTGTCTCACACTTAAGGTTCACTGGGAAAATGGCTCCTTAAAGTTGATAGATGTCAGAGGATTCCGTATGTCAAGGGAGCAGGCAGGAAAATCTTAGGCTACTAAGCATCCCGGAGACCCAGATTCTTTGAAATTTATGAATGATCATCAATTAACTTTTCCCTCAGAGTAAAGTGAAGTCAAAGAGTACTTACTCATGCCATAAGTTTTACTAAAAATCTGTAAGATTTTGTTAAACTATGAGAAAAAAATCACAATGAATGTAATGTAAATGGAATCTGAAAATAAAGCAGTATTTACTTTAAAAAAAAGAAAGAAAAGAGAAAGAAAAAGAAAAAGAAGAAAAAAAAAAAAGAAGGCTATATCCCAAAGTGTCTCCTTGTCCCCGGCAGATGTTTATACCCTAATTTGTAAACAGTGCCTGGCAACAACAGCAGAAGGGAATCTGAAGGCTCACTGGCCTTGGTGAGGCTGACTAGCCCTCCACGGAGGTGCATGTTTGCAGAAACGCTCCTTGGGGAGGTGCAGATGCTGGGGCCTGCACACCGGCCTCTGGCTTACCTGGCTCCAGCTCAGACACGTGGCACTCCTCCACGGCTCCAGAGGGGCTGTGCACCTTTGCATCGATCTTGCCTTTTGCCCCATTCAACCTTATAGCAAAGGAGGCTGGCTGGTTAACTTTTAATCCCGATTCCTGGGAATTTAATACATTAGGACAGGTTACGGCCCATGGTGTTACTGCTCAGTGGCACACACTGACCTGACCCCAGGACTCCAGGGGACAGTTCTCATGCAAAAAAGGCCCAGAATGTTTATCCATATAACATCTGACAACAGAAGAGCAGGTGCCTTGTTTCGCACTTCTAGCTTTGTATATATGGTGGTGGAGACACACATCGGCGTAGTCTAGCACTTGGCTTCGGCTGGAAGAGATGGTTACTGGATTTGGAGACTTACGGACATCCTGGTCAACAGAACTATACTTTCCATGTCCCAAACAAGACCTGGACAGCCAGGAAACCCATTGTTTTCCCAGCCAAAAAAAGGAAGGGCCCCCTTTTAAGAAGAGCCTGGTGACGGACAAAACCATGTACTCACCAACATGAACAAAGTTTTCTATCATTGCTATTTTTTATCTTGAGACTAGGAATGGAGACGATTAATAAACTCATAAAGGACCATACATGGTTAAGGGTCAGCAGGACTTGGGGTGACTATCATTTCCTAGCTATGCAAATAAGTTTCAACCTTCAAGTCCCAGTCTCCTCATCTGTAAAATGGGCACAATAATGGAATCTATACCAGACAGCTGCTGTGTGAGGATGAAATGAGTGATGCATTCTAAGCACTGAGCACAGGGCCTGGTCCATACATAGAAAGGCTCGCAAAGGCCAGCTTATCGTTAAATATTAACACACATTTAGAAGTTATCTGCATCCCCTCCCCCCAAAAAGAACACAACAGGAGGAAGATTAGCTTTCACTCTTCATTGGATCAGTTTCACCCTCCATGCTCTGCCCTGGAAACTACAGCCTCTTCCAGGAGAAGGGGATTAGAGGTTTAGATGCTTAAGATATTTTAAAATTGGCCAGTCCTGAGCCACAAAATTTTACAAGTTAGCAGTTTTGTGGTAAACTTGATTGGACAACCATTCCTCAGATGGTACCTCAATGTGCGATTGAAGGACGTGGGGGGTCTTGTTAAAATGCAGATTCTGATCCAGTGGGTCTGACGGCAGGGGGCGAGGAGCCTGGAATTCTAGGATTCTAATAAGTTGCCAGGCGATGCCGAGGCTGCTAGTCCTAGCAAGGCACTAAAGCTGCACTGCCTAATTTGGTAGTAACTAGCCATAGGAGACTATATATTTTTTTATATTTAAATCAATTAAACAAAGTTAAAGCTTTGGTTCTTCAGTTACACCAGCAACATTTCAAGTGCTCAATAGCCACATGTGGCCAGGGGCTATCATATCACACAGAGGAGATGTGAGACATTTCCCTTGTTGTAGAACATCCTATTACACTGTGCTGCACTAGAGGTTACAGACTGGGGGATGAGGACTATGCACAAAATTAAGGAACCTCTGATTACCAGATGGCCCCCCCCCCATCCCACCATCCCCTCCTCCACCAAATAACAGCCGACTTCAATTTTCTAAAAAGTCTTAAAAGCAAGACAAAACAATACACGCCTCTCTTTTCCTAATCAGCACCAGATGTTGGTGTGCAGGCCTCCAGCAAATCTCCGATAAATAATTTACATATCACTCAGCACCGAGTGATCCGGGGAAAAACAGGATGAAGCTGACACTCGTCCCTCCAACTGTGGCAGCGGGTTACAAAAGTGTGACAGATACACAGCCTGCCGCATGCTTATTCAAATATTTACAACCCAACTGCAATGAGAGGACTCTACAGAAAAGTCTTCTGGAGAGGATTTCCCCAAACCAGGTTTTTGGGGGACAAAACCATTTACATTACCTGAATCTGCTTGCCGCTAAATCCTCAAGAGGGAGATAAACACCTCAGAAGATCTGAAAGAAATCTTTGAGATGCATGAAGGCAGCTCTTTGCCCTCAACAAATGCTGGGTTTATCTCCCTCCATAGGTTTTAGTTAAGTTGACCACAAAAGGAACTTCTGTTAAGAAGCCTTTAAATGAAACACAAGAAAAACATCAACACCACAGCGACCAGTTAGCACCCTTGGTACTCTCCAGATGAGGCCTCTTCAATCTGCTGACTGTGATTCTGCTTTGGGTTCTGTCTGGGTTCCCTAATGTCTGGAACAACCAACCATTCCAGCGATACCAATTCTCCTTAGGCAAGGTTGGAATCTCCAGTGTAAACCAAGGGCATGGAATTAGAGCAAGGAGATGACCAACCTGAGATACAGGATTGGGTTTATATCAAGTATTTTCAAGAACTGGGGGGCAGCTGAAGGCTACTGAGAAATCCCATTAATCAGAAATCAGATTTGGGGATTCTGGTGTTAGGCTGCAAAGGATTCAGACACCTAATTACTTTTCAGTGTCCTGAGCAGAGATCCAAAGGCATCCCTAGTGGTTCTTAGTTCGGCTGTAAGCTCTAATGCAACCTTGAACTCAAAAGTTGATTTATGCTAGGAGAAAAGTGGCATTTCCTGGCATCCCAACAGGTTGGGATGTGACCACTTGCCACAGTGGCAGGGTGGGGATTAAGGAGGCCACAGTTAAGACCATGGGTTCTGGGGCCATAGAGATCCTCACTCTGCCTCATATTAGCTGGTTTCTGGTAGCCATAACCTCTCTGTATCTCAGCTTTTCCATCTTTAAAATGAGGTCAGGAGAAACCTACCCACTAGGCTCTTGCAAGGATTTAATGAGGCAATACCGATAAAGTTCTTACATAATGCCTTGCACACTTATAAGTAAGTCCTCATCACAAAATTAATCACCAAGGGGCTTGAGGAAAAGAAACCCTGCAATAGCAGGCAAAATGTAACCAGACTGTTAGTCTTGTGTTCATTCTGTTTGAAAGGCCTTCTTATCCTTAACCAATTATTAACAGGCCTCCTTTGTTCCTTTTGAATAAATATTTAAAAGACAACCTTGTTCTCAAACGTTGAGGTGTTTTGTTGACTGTGGCTCTGTTTTCACTTGCCTCAAGTGTCTCCTGTCCTAAACGTGGGGCGGGGGTGTGTGTATGTGTGTGTGGGGGTGTTTGACTCTGCCATGGGAAAGCTCCTCTACAGTTAGCAGCATCTGTGGTCACACTGGGATAGGGCCCTTGGCACTGCAGGGAGGATTGAAGCGGCCTCAAGAGTCCAGGGTCTCACTGGTTGGCCTGTGGCCAAGGAGATGGATGTTTCCTTGCGTCTCACCTGAAGGCTCATAACAGTGAGGCGGCGGGCGTCGTCAGAGGGCGCGATGACGGGTACCAGGTAAGGACTTTCAGGGATGTGCTCATCGTTGAACTTGATAGACACCTCGTAGTTACCTGTGGAGGCAGGAAAGTCCCATCATTTCAGATATTCTGGGAAGGTAGTTCCAGAGCGGACTCTTGCTTCTTTCCTAGGACTGAAATGCCTTCCAAGAGACCCTGCCTCCCCAGTGGCAATGGCCAGTTGGTTGAGGGTAGGTCACTTAGTTTAGGTTGAGCCAATATGATTCCCTTAGTTGGGCAAGGGCCAAGATTCTTTTTTTTTTTTAATTTTATTTATTTATTCACAAGAGACAGAGAGAGAGAGACAGAGACAGAGACAGAGACACAGGCAGAGGGAGAAGCAGGCTCCATGCAGGGAGCCTGACATGGGTCTTGATTCTGGGTCTCCAGGATCATGCCCTGGGCTGAAGGCAGTGCTAAACCGCTGAGCCACCCGGGCTGCCCAAAGGCCAAGATTCTTAATCTGGGTCCACAGGGCCTCCCCAAGGGCCTGTGTACAGAATTCGGGAGACCCAGGAAAGCTGAATTGGAAAAAAAATATTACATCCTCACTTTCACTAACCTCAGGTTGAAATTTAGCATTTCCTTTCTTTAGAAATGCCAACAAGAAACACTAGAAGTACACATTAGAAGTCCTTGTAACTTTGTCACCAACAAAGATCACAGATATTTTCATGTCACTTTACAGTTCTAGATACGCCTTGACACATGATTTACACTCGCCACTACTTTGAAATACAGGTAGTTAACAGACCATCACCAAATGCTATGACTTCTTATGTTAAGGGAGACGTGTATATGTTACTATGCTACACATTCCCCTGAAGATTTTGATAACTACATTTAATTATAACTGATTTCCTTTATACTCCAATGCATTATATATGTTTCAAAACATTATCCTGTCAAAAAGGGTCCATGGCTTACAGAAGGTCAAGAGCTGCTGCTCGAGCAAGCACAGATGCTGAGGCCACTCTTCTAGAGCAGCCACAACAACCAGTGGCCAAGGATGGGCAGAAAGGCTGGTTAGTGGCAAGAACACCATGGTTGAATGAAAGCATGAAGCAGAGAGACCAAGAAAGAAGGACCAAAGAACAAGACTTCCTGCCCCCTGGAGGCCTGACTGGATTTCCTACCGTGGCATTTCTAGGAGGCCCTCCCATGCACCCCTACAGATAAACTCCTTTTTTTACAAGAGCTAGCTAGCTTGCCAGGGTTCTGTTCCTTATAACCTAAGCACCCCCAACAAGGAACATGTCCTCAGTTGGCCGGTGGTTACATACCAGGCTCCTGGGCAATGTAAGACACACCGCATGATCCATTTTTATGGTCATCGAACGTAATCTCGGCCTTACTGGGGCCCTCGACAGCAATGGACAAGCCGCCAGCGCCTGCCTCCCGGGTCCAGATGCTGAATTCGGCTGAAGCAAAGAAACACCCAGTTTGTGACCAAGCCTGGGACAGGCTCTCTTCTTGCTCACACCCACAATGCTGGGTTACGGTTGCTCCCTTTTCTCTCTTTAACCCCAAGCAGAGCCCCAAGGGAGGGCATCATCAGTGTTTTGGAAGCATCAGCCATGAGAACATGAAATTCATGCAAAACCGGGCATCTCCGAATATAGCCAACCAAGGCAGAAAAAGATGAGAATGCTTTGTTTTGTCCCCACCAGCAACCACCCTACAATTGGTTTTGTAGAATTCTAGTGTGTTCCACCAAATGTTAGCATTGCAGAATGCTCTGAGGCGCTTCATTAGTCTGTTCCCCTCTTAGACGCTCACACACAGAGTCATTATAGGCTTCAAGGGGCCCCTCAGTGAGAAACTTGTTTAGCTTTGGGTAAGCAAGCAACTCCCAAACATGTGTAGCCACAGAAGCCTTGTTTTAAAGGATGCCCCTTGAAAGGAGAAAAAATGAGTGGGAAATATCAGAAAGGGAGACAGAACATGAGAGACTCCTAACTCTGGGAAACGAACTAGGGGTGGTGGAAAGGGAGGTGGGCGGGGGGTGGGGGTGACTGGGTGATGGGCACTGAGGGGGGCACTTGATGGGCTGAGCACTGGGTGTTATTCTATATGTTGGCAAATTGAACACCAATAAAAAATAAATTTATAAAAAACGTTAAATTAAATATAATAAATAAATAAAGGAAGGGAGGGAGGGAGGGAGGGAGGGAGGGAGGGAGGGAGGGAGGGAGGAAGGAAGGAAGGAAGGAAGGAAGGAAGGAAGGAAGGAAGGAAGGAAGGAAGGATGCCCCTTAATACCACCATCAGAACCATCCACCCAGAGAGTCTGTTTCTGGAACAGGGTGAAGAACACCGGGTGCTCACACCACCAGGCTCCTTGTGTTCTTCTCAAGTAAAAAGCCTGCCTGAACACTCACCTGGGACCCCTGCTTCTCCTCTCTCCAGGCCGGGGCCTCCTGCGCGGACCTTGTGGGCACCCCCCTCACCCAGAGGCCCCACAGTGAACTGGAAGGGGCTGCCGGTCACATGCTGGCCGCGGTACTTGACGCTGACCGTGTGAACACCCATCTCCTGGGGCACAAACCGGACACAGTGAGAGTTCTTCCCCACGGACACAATCTCTGCCTCGGTCACGCGGCCAGAAGGGCTGGTGACATGGGCCGACATGTCACTGCTGTCGATTTCTGAAAAGGGGCCGGAATTTGGGGGAAAGAGAGCAGGGTTAGGGTAAGGGACCAAGGCAGAGAAGGCCATGCAGGACAAGCAGCAGAGGGCAAGGCAGGTGCAGCCCAGCGGGTATGGGGTGCTCAGGCTTCCTCCCATTCAGGAGAGACCTTCCTGTCTCCCCCAAACACTGGGTGGCTGTGGCCACCGTAGATACAGCAGGGCCCCTCCAGCCACCCAGTGCAGACAACATTCTAGGGACAGTGACACTTTCTGCCCCACCGAGTACTTTTACCATCTTCCTGGCTGGAGCTAATTCCACACAGCAGTTTCAAACCAGAGCCTGGCACTGAGAGTGACAGCAGGTAAATAAAAACTACAATAGCTCAGATGTTTCTAAGCCAAAGGTGACATGTGCCCATCTATCATGCTTATAGGAGCTCTTTTCCATAGGTAGGTAAGGGCAGAGAATTTAAGAAACGTCACCCTGTACTTTCGACAAGCCCTGGCATTTCTTTTAGGCAACAAGACAAAATGCATTCAGAGAAAAAAGTGAACACATGTTGGTCACAACTGCAAAGGGAAACCATGCGTGAGCAAAGCTTTGAGCAAGTCAAATACCAGAGGCCATGCTTTCAGAAGAGTGATGCCTCAGGTCACCGACAGCGGGAAGCAGACCACGTCTGCTGCACCTGAGGTGCTCATGCCATGCCAGTGACCATGCCCACACTGACGTGGTGGAGACAGGCACACTGCATGCTGGGTGACCAAGTAATGCCATCACCTAGAGCCACATGAAGCTGCACTCGCCAGCCCTACACGACCTGGGCTGAGCAGCCGTGACTTTGAGCCCTGAGGACAGAGAAAGGAAGGGGATTTGAGGAGAGGGTCACCCCACACGGCCTGGGTCCAAAGGAACATCTGGAAGCTGATGAGCCTGTCCTCCACTCTAACTGAAGACAGAGGCTCATTTAGGTAATGAGGGGAAAAGTGAGTCTCACCCAGAGTGAGCTGGCACCAAGGATCTGATCAGAACAAAGAGGAGCCAAGAGCTAGACAGACTTCGGAGGAAGAGTAACTGACCCGCTAGTTCCTCAGGAAACAGATAATTCGCAAAAGGAGGAATGTAAAGCAAAGGAAAAAAGTCTGTCACCAGTGACCTGAGAAACGAAACTGAAAACGGGACACCGTATTTTTCCATCATATTGGTCAAAGTGGGAACGAAACCTAGTGCCCAGTGCTGGTGGGGAAATGGAGAAATGGGCACTGATCCTTTATCACGAGGGTGGTCTGCCAAGGTGGGGGAGCATTTGAACCACGTCAGCCCTGCCATCCCAGCCTGCAGCATCCATCCGACATGAAGCCAGCCTGCAGACACGGCAGTGAATGTTACAGAGCACCAGCTGCCAGAGCCCAGGGATGGAAGTGAGCTTACGTGGATGGAGACTATGCGATGAAGCACGGTGCATCAGGACATGGACCAGAATGTCAGGTAGTCATTAAAGATACGATGTGGAGTGGCACCTGGGGGGCTCAGTCAGGTAGGTGTCTGACTTGATTTTGGCTCAGGCCATGATCCCAGGGTTGGGCTCCCTGCTCAGTGGGGAGCCTGCTTCTCCGTCTTCTCCTGCCTGTGCTCTCTCTCGCTATCTCTGTCTCTGTTGCTCTCTCAAATAAATAAATAAAATCTTAAAAATAAAAAAAAAGGAACAATGCCATCGGGCTGACATCTCTGAAATACCTCCAAATAGGCATCAGCAGGGCCATTCTCTCACTGACACGACTCTATTTGACAGATAGTAAATTCAAATATAAAAGCTTATCTTCCCCACCTTGTGACAAAATAAAGCCATTTTCATTTGGAAGAGGAAAAAAGTAGCAGGTAGTTTTTCTGGGATGGGGCTGTGTGAGAAGAGTACTAAAATTATAAATACTTACTTACTTACTTGCTTTAAAATAGTTACCCATAGAGCACTTAGTATGTTCTAGGTCATGCCCAGACCTGGTTTCCAATGGTGCTCACTGCCCTGACCCCTAAGGTCCTCAGGCTCACCTGGGATTTTCAGGTTCAGGTCACAGATGCTCCCGACAGTGGCCACAGATGGGGCCCGGCTGGTGCGGGTGATGCTCTCCTTGACTCTTCCCTCCCCGCTGATCTTCACAGTAAACGGGCTCCCTGCAAGAACCGAGAAGGCCCTCATGAGCAGCCCAGAGGCTGAGGGGCACAGCATTTATAGAAAACCCAAGCATCAAATGGGGAGGGCGGAGGGGATCAGACGCACCAGGTACATGCTCATCAGCGAACTTGGTGGAGACAATGTAAACCCCAGGCACAGTGGGGAAGTAGGAGACCTTGCAGGTACCATCTTCCAAGTCCTCTGTCTGGATGTCCACTTTGCTGGGGCCTTCCACTGCCAAGGATATGCCACCATAACCTGCAACATGGTAGCCCGGGGCTGATGGGACCGCAACTCATTGGGGAGGGGGAACTCAATGCACGCAGAAAGGATGTTTGGCTCTGGAAATTCAAACTGCTATTTCCAGATGGCACAAAGACAGAAGTGATAGGCAGCTCCCTATTAAAGAGGCCCAGGCAGAGAAACAGGTTAAAATGCTCTGAGAAATCCCGTAGTGAAAAAACATGGTAAGTATGGCTTTGATCACAGAATTCTTTTCTCAAAGATATCTATCAACATCCCATGGAGCACCTATCTCCTACAGAACCCACTGAGGAAGACACCTTGGCCATACGCCTCCAAGAACGGCATGTATTAATCACCAGCTACAGGTCTGAGAACTTGAACTTTTAAACTATCCCCACATGCCTCAGATGTCCAGCCAGTGAATCATTAAGATAGAAAATCCAAAAGTTTAATGACCTAAAGAATCAACAGGGAGCATCGGCCCACCAAGATGAGAAATTTTCTAGCCCTCTGCCCTGGGACTGAGACTTTGTCTGGAAGCCACCACTATGGCCATGACTCAAGAAGGCAGAAGATGAAGATACTAACAATGTGGCATAGCTTAAAGAGGCCCAATCCAATTCAAACCATTTTAAAGAGGAAACAGGGAGAGATTCCATATTTCCACAAAAGCACCACTCAGCTGACATGACCTTGGCCAGCTGGCCCAACCTCCTATGCTTAGGATAGGCCCAGGAGATCCTGGAAAGCTGCAGACGGTGGTGTAGTGTACATGATGACAGAGAGATCTGTGATTTGTTTTGGCTCTGGATTCAAATGCCAGGAGCAGATAGGCTGTTTACTCCTGTAAACCTCAGTTTCTTCATCTTGAAATGCAGATAATACCTACTTCACTAAGGGTCATGGGATCTAAATGCTAATGCAGGTTCAAGGACCTACAGCTTGAAAGATGCTCAGAAAGTAACGGGAGGTGGTAGGATGAAAAGACAAAGCAGCCCAAGCAACAAGAAGACCATTCCTGTGAGCCTTCCCCCACAGACCTGCATCCCTGGTGTCCACGATGAACTCAGACATCTCGAAAGTCCTGCCCTCTGAGAGGCCACGGCCATAGACTTTGGCTCTGCGTGCATCGCCAATCTCAGACTGGACCACCATGATGGACACGGGGCTGTTGGCCACGTGGTTGCCATTCTTCTTGATGCTGACCAGGTGTTCACCCACCTCCCGGGGGATGAAGGAGATGCCTGCATCAGAGCACAGATTGGGGTTTGTAAGAGGGGACAGGATGAAGGAGAGGAAACAGGAGGCAGACACACACCCAAGGATGGAAACTTTCCAGCAGCCCAGAGTGTCCAAGCAGGGGGGGCCAACACTGCAATGGAGAAACTCGGGCTCTCTGAGGTGCTATAGGTCCTCAGGACAGGACAGGAGGAAGGCCCATCTCCCACCCAGCTTTGGCTAGGAAGGCAGCCCAGGCTCACCGATGTGGTTGTTGGGGAGCCTCTTGAGGAGACAGGGCTCGTCGCGGCCGGATGGTGCCTTGATGCTGGCCGTCAGGGTGCTCAGGTCCGTCTCGCTGATGTCGAGCAGGAAGTCGGCGGCAGAGCCTAGCTTGACCTGAGAGCACCGTCTGCTGTCGTCTGGGAAACATCCCCCGCCCCGGGCAGCTCCTATTACATGTGGTCTCCTCAGCTCCCAGGAGCCCTCACACCACATGCCAGTCACAGAGGAGCACATAAGGATGAATGACTCAAAGTTAAGAGAAAAAAAACCCATCTGGGACAATGAGCAGGACTAACTAACAATGAGTGCTGGCTATTTCTGTCTGGTTAAAGGGAAGACTGGGAACTGGCCGGAGACTGGGGTCTTCTCTCGGACCACTTTTCAAAGGAGACTTTGCCAGCGGGAGGCACCTGTCACCTGCCTGCCATCACCTGGGGTGTTCCTCAAGCGCATACACCTCCTGCTCCACATGGGACTGCTGACTGCTTCACAGTTCAGGACAAAAACCTTGCCTTTCAAATTCCCATATAATCTACTGACAGTGTCATATGAACACAGCAAGCACCAGAGACATTAGGAGTGTGGGCTTTGAATCAGATAACCTGGATAGGAGTCCCAGAATACCTACCCATGAACTTGGCCAAGCCACTACCTCTCCCACCGTCAGGTTTTCCAACCGTAAATAGCAAGGAAATCTATCTAGTAGTGATGCTGAAGGGCATCTTTGAGTTCATGTACTCCTGTAAAAGGTATCTGAATGTCGCTACCTGAGGGCCTACTATTGGCTGCTGGAGTCAGATTGGCACACAAAAAAGTACCCTCTGAATGGTTGCTGCTTCCTTTTCCTTGGATTACCAGCTAAGGGAAGAATTAGGCCAGCCCAAAGTTGACTTTGCACCCCACAGACTCCCCCAAGGAGTCTGCATGAAGCCTACACTTAGATGCAGAGCCTGCTGCCACTGGTCTGATGGGGAGAGAGGCTGTTGGGGGAGCCATACCTTCCCCTAGGAAGCACCCCCCACAGGCCAGGTAACCCTACCTGTGATCTTGGCTGTGAAGGGGCTGCCGGGGATGTGCTTGTCATTGTACTTGACCAGAATGCTGTAGTCGCCTGGCAGGGTGGGGAGATAGGTCACTGTGCATGTTCCATCTTTGTTGTCGATGCAGCTGATTTCGGCCTTTGAGGGTCCCTCAATAGCCAAGTCTAGGCCACCTGGGGACGGGAGGGAAAAGGGAGAGCCTTTAGTGAGAGAGTGTTTTCTTGTTTCAACAGGGATAACATCTCATCTAGGGCGGTCCCAATGCCAGGAACAATAGACTATTACATGCCACATAAGCTCGGGCAAGGGGCATGTCAGAACAAAGCAATTTACATGGTAAACCTGCCCAGTGGAAAGACATTCCACCATCTGAATTCTTCACTAGGAATGACCCTGAACTTTTCTCTATTCTTCGGGACACATGGGACATGAAAGGGATGGCATCCTGCACATCAATCACACATATGGGAGGGTCACATAAAGACTGTCCCTGCTGGTGGGGCACTGACTGCCATCATGAAAGTCCCATAAGAACCACAAATTTAGGGGTGCCTGGCTGGTTTAGTCAGTGGAGCATGCAACTATCGATCTTGGGGTTGTGAGTTTGAGCCCTGCATTAGGTGTGATTACTTAAAAATAAAATCTTAAAAAAAAAAGAATCACAAATATAGAAGTCTCCATGACAACTATGGGCATAGGTATAGAGCTTTATCTGGAATGGGCAGTAGCTTATGTAGTCCTCTAGATATACATACATATGCAAAAAAGAAAAGAAAAAGCATCATCTACTAAAAACATGTTTGAATTTCAAGCAAGTCTCATAAAATATTTCATAGCATTGATCTAATTTTGATCAGAATACAAAGGACTTCAAAAATTCTGTTTTGGGTAAAGACAGAGCAGCTCTACCTAAGAGATTTATGAGAAAAGACAAGACAAATGCTATCATTCAGCTGTCTTATTTTTAAAAGCTGCTCTGGAACTGTATCTACTTAACTCTCCAAACATAAGGCCAGAAGCATAAAATCACATAAAACACACGGTACCTTCTCCTGCATCCTCAGTGACGATGGTGAAGGTGGCAGTTTTGTTGGCCACTCCATATACCAGGCCTGGACCATATGCAGAAACGCTCCCACTGTTCGGGTAGTTCACGTAGAACTGGAGTGGGCTTTCTGTGTTGGCAAAGAACACAAAATTGAGGGGGACTCACTGACAGGGGAATGTATCCCTTGAACAACCAGTGTCTTAATAGTCACCTAATAGCAGGTAGGGGTGGTGTCTCCTATGCACGGGCAGAAATCAGAAGGAGACTCCTGTAGAGCTCACCATGCTGCGATATCCAAGGGGTCTACTCATACTGCACAAGGAAAACAATCCCAAGGGTTGCTCCAGAATAGAAGGGGGCTCAGGTAGGACAGTGCTGCTCCACTTGACCAATAAGGAGGAAACATCTGACCATGTGGAGACATGACCCACTACTGGAGGGAACACAACTGGAAAGGTCTTTTGTGAGGGCCATTTTGCTGTGCCTTTCAAAATGTAAGGCTCTATGAGGCCCCTCGTAATCTATCCCACAGTGGTCCTTTCTCCCCACCCTGCTCTCAGCCCTGTGCAAGGTCTTCTATTTCCATAGCATGCAGATCCAAATTAGAAAAAGACTCCAGTGTCCAACAATAGGGAGCCAGTTAAGTAAACAATGGTCTACTCGCAGGTCATTAAAAACAATGATGGAGGGATGCCTGAGTGGCTCAGCGGTTGAGCGTCTGCCTTTGGCTCAGGGCTGATCCCAGGATCCGAGACCAAGTCCCACATTGGGCTCCCTGCATGGGGCCTGCTCCTCTCTCTGCCTCTCTCTGTGTGTCTCTCATGAATAAATAGGTAAAATCTTAAAAAAAAAAAAAAACAATGATGGAGGGGGCACCTGGGTGGCTCAGTTAAGTGTCCGACTTTTGATTTCAGCTCAGGTCATGATCCCAGGGTGGTGAGATCAAACCCTGCGTCCAGCTCCACACTGAGCATGGAGCCTGCTTGAGATTCTCTCTCCCTCTCCCTCTGCCCCTCCTCCCTTGCTTGTGCTCTCTCTCTCTCTCTCTCTCAAAAAAAAAAAAAAAGCAATGAGGGAGATCTGTGTGTATTAACTTCAGAGATTATTCATAATGTGCCACAGAAAAAGACAAGCTGCTATATAACATTAATTGCATTATCTTGTTTCTTTGAAGAAAAAAACAGAACAAAATTATATGCATGTTTTTCAGGCACAGAGAGAAACATCTGGAAAGACACACACCAAGTAGTGGAAGTTAAAGGGAAAGAGGAGAAAGACATTTTTTACTTTCTCTGTATCTGCATCTTTACAATATTTAGATAAAAGCTGATAACGTATTTTCACTTTAAACAAATATTATGCACGCAGAAGTGCATAAACTATAGCAAATACTGAACTGGGAGAAATATTTGCAACTTTTATCACAAAGGGCTAATCTCTCCAATAGTTAATTTGCTCTCAGAAACTGATATGAACAAAGGGTAATAACCCAATAGAAAAACCTGGCCAAGGAAACAAGTGCTCGGTTCACAGAAATCAAATAGTACTTAAACATATAGAAAGTTGCACAATCTCATTCATAAGAGAAATACAAACAAAGCCACAGTAAGATACAGTTTTGGGTTTTTGTTTTTGTTTTTTTTTTGAAATGTCAGTCTTGCAAAGATCCAAAACTGGTGGAAAAGCGGGTGCTTGTCTTTCCTGATGGTGGGTGTATGAACGGGGGTACCCCACTGAAAGGCAATTTGGCAAGACCTATTGGAATGACAGATGTCTCTACCTGTGGCCTACAATTCCTGCCCGGGGAACTAAATCTCACAGCTATACCTTCATGAGTGTGAGGATGATGGATATAAAGGCTGTTCACTGCAGCAAAAGGTAGGGGAGAGCCTAAATGTCCTCCAATCGGGGAAATGGGGGAATATATCACAGTTCATCCAAACAGCGGGACACCACAAACACGCTCTATCATTTGGACACGCAAAGCCCACCTGGATACACCATTATACTGCAAAGGACGACCTCAGAATGATGTGTAGAGTATGCTACTATTAATGTACAAATGGGAAAGGGCTTAAGACTCTGTATTTCCCCTTTGTTTGTAGGGTCTTAAAAATATTCTGAAATCCAACATAAAAAATTAACAGCAGTCAAGTTCAAGGAGAGGTCAGGTGGGTGATATAGACAGGAAGGAAACCTTTCCCCATATCATTTTTTACACTATGTGGGTATGTTGTTCACTCAAAATATTAAATTAAAAAACAGAGAACTATTTGAACAATTTTTTTTTTTTAAGAACAAGAATAACACTGTGCTGGTTGATGGACATGAAATCTGAGCTGGATTTCCTTGTCAAGGGCAGTATGAACATAAGGCAGCTTGTCCTCTCCTCCTCCCACCCCAAAACCCCACGCCACACAGGGCTCTGCAGACCAGGCTGGAAAGTCCCTCGATGTGCCTCACATTTTCTCCCAGTTCACCCTTTGGCCACACTAGGCATAGTGACAAAGATAAATAATCATGGACCTAAGGGCTGAACTGTGACCCAGGATGCTCAGCTGTACCGTCCCTTCTGGAAAGTAGCTGGTTCTGCTGGGGTCACAGGCTTTTTGGTTTCAGAGGGACACACAGCATTCCCAATCCTGCCACCAAGAACTGCTTCCTACACATCAGCTAGCTGAACGTCTCTGCAAACCTCCCAGATGTTCAGGCCCCATACCCTGTTGTCTTGCAGGTCACACTGCCCCAGGTGCCAAGCCTGACTCACCAGGGATGTGGCCGCCCATGTATCTGATGTGCATCTCATGCAGCCCGACCTCAGTGGGGGCGTATCTGACGGTGACCGTGCCGTCCTTGTTGTCCACAATCTCAGGTGTAGCCGTCTTCCCAGAAGGCATATGGACCTCTCCTGTTAGAGCACAAGGAGACAGGACAGTGAGCCCCCCAGCGACTTGCCCTGGAGAAGCTGAGTGCCAAGGTGCAGGTGGCCTTCAGATGCAAGAGCACTCATGGCTGCTAAAGCATCCACGATCCACAACAGGAAAAGAGACATGTTTGCCTTTGTTCTGTTTCCTTTTCCTCCACAAAATGCAGCAGGCAACTCAAGTCAAAAGTTATCTACTTTTGTACGGACTAGAAAAGACCACAAGGCCAGTAGCATTAGCAGAATGTCAACTCAAAGAGAAACAGACATTAAAAGGAGGCTTGGAGAGAAAGAAAGTCTTGCACAATATAGACGTTAGTGTCAATGTCACATCTGGAAAGGTGCAAGAATAAGACAAGGCAGGAAGAAAGGCAGGACAGGAACCTGACAGTCAAGAGGGATCTAATACAGCCGTTCTTAACCTGGAGAGAAGCCCCGGCCTTCTCCAGGATGTAAACAAGTTATAAATCAATCACCCCCTTCGGAGACACACATAATGTAGAGAGAACATTCTGCAATCTCAGGGGCTCTTGGACCAATCTCCTACAGCAAGAACAAGGGATGCTGGGTTCAGGACCCCAGGTATTAGGGACAAGTGGAACCACCTCCCAGGCACTGTTCTGGAAAGCTGGTGCAATCCAGGGAGAACAAGGTGGCTTTCATGACAGTGCTTACCAGTGATTTCTCCTTTCCTGACTGCAAACGGAATGACCAAGTCGAAAGGCTTGAACCCCAGGCCGTTCATGTCACTCACTGGGACATAAGCCTCTTCGGTTACCTGAAAACAGGAAGCAGTTGTCACTGGGAAAAGTGGACAACAGTGTGGGCCAGTGAAGCAACAGAGGGCAGAGCAACTGGGAATTTTGCAAGTCAGTGCAGCCAGGATTTGGGAATGTGGCTGTCGATCCATGGAGGATGGGCTTTGTCTAACTGGCCCCAGGGCCAGAGCAGAGCCTGAAGGATTGGAGAAGTCATGCTGACCAATTGCTAAAAAGTCACTAGGCAGTTTGCTTGTAAAATTCCCAGCAGTGCTCACGGGAAAGTGGAAAGGTGAGAGACAGCAATGTCTGTGAGTCCCAAGAGGCTCCACCTGGAAAGGTTTAGTTGCTTGTGGCCTGGAAAAGAAGGTGCGTTTTAAGTGGCAGAAAGTAGCAGCAGGTGGTTTTCCCCCTGAACAGAAACCAAATGTGCAAGGGGCGGCCTTAAGAGTCAGCAGGAGGGCTGAAGACAGTCCAGATTCCTCTGAACCACGGTGACAAACTACACCGAGAGTGATCACAGATATGACGGCTGGAGATTCGTGGAGCGCATACGATGACACAGGTGGGTCTCATTACAGAGGAAGCGGGGATCATTGTGATGGACCAATCAGTGGGGGACAAACCAATGACCAGGACACCCAGAGGGTTTAAGCAATCCCCAGAAGCAGGCTGTAGCTTTTCTGAAATGAAGGCTGAGTAAACACAGAAACGCAAATAGGGGGAAAAAAAAAAGTGTACCCAGGGCCTGAATCCAGGGGAACATGCATTTACCGGAGCCTCCTCCACAGCCTCGACTTCCCCATCCGTGGCCTGGTCGGTGGCAAATGGAGATTAGTTGGGAATCACATTGAAGGGACACTGCTACTTAGTAGGTTCTAAGAGCTGAGGGCTGCCTCCTCCCTGTCTCTGCTCCATCTGGTACAGCAGGGAGCCACTTGCTCTGGCAGGATCCTGCATTCTTCCTCCCCTCATGGAGAACAAGTTGGCACCCTTTCTCCAAATGTCAAACACCCAAGTCCTTTGAACCCGAGATGCCACTTCTAGGAAGCAAGTCTATAACAATGGTAACCCGAAAGTCCATAGGTAGTTGATATGTGCCAGGGATTTTACTAGAGCTGTCTGTGGTCAAGAGAACTTGACGTAACCTAAAATGTCCATCTGCCAGAGACTCAGTTTAGTAAATTATGCAAACCTGTACACTAGAAGAAACAACCAAGCCTGATGAATGAAATGTGGAAGGGTGCCTATGTCTATGAGATGAAAACAAGTGTATGTGGATGACACGATCCCTTGCACCAAGCTGATGGGTGTGTTGTGCAAATAGGGACTAGTCACTTCTGCAGCATGGAACTAGGAAAGTGGTCTCCTCTTGTTTGATAAAGGTCTGTGGTATTAATGTTTTAAAAGTCTATAAATTAAAAAAAAAAAAAAAGGTCTATAACTTCGGGCAGCCCCAGTGGCCCAGCAGTTTAGCACTGCATTCAGCCTGGGGTGTGATCCTGGAGACCCGGGATCAAGTCCCACGTCAGTCTCCCTGCATGGAGCCTGCTTCTCCCACTGCCTGGGTCATTCTCTCTGTCATGAATAAATAAATAAAATCTTAAAAAAATAATAAACAGAAGTCTTTAAAAAAATAAAATAGAAGTCTATAAATTCATTTTTTTTAAACCATAGACCGTTATGCTCCTGCTCCGATCAACCTGATAAGAGAGGGTCCCTCTCTCCTACCATCATCAACAAGAATTGGAAGGCCACCCCCTGGAGGAAGGCTTACATCCCTGCTTTACTCCTTTCTGTGCATTTTAGCATCTGCAGAAAGGGGACTTCACTTAGGCAGCTTTGTAAGCTTCCACATGGGGAACAGCCCTATCCCTGCCTCCTGGGGCTCTCCCACAGTGGCGCTATGTGGGGACAAAGTGGTCAGGAGCAAGATCTTTCACCGACCACACTATGAACTTGGACCTAGGACTTCTCAAAGCTGATGAGCAGAAAAGCTGCTAGACCTGTGACTTCATGATGTATTTAACTGAACCAGCCCTGCTGGGGCTCCTTGAGACATGAGCTCTGAACACAGTACTGGGTGCACCAGTCCTTCTGGCCACAAGTCTGTAGAGGGAGGCAGGGAATCCACATGCAAAGAAAGTCCATCTAGGTAAGGCTGGAGAAAGTCTGGAGCTTTCTAGGAGAATACAGACCCAAACCCGTACTGTGGGTGACCCACTCCCACCCCGGGCCCCTTTCCTGCCTTCAGTAGTGACTAGGGGGCAGTGTGTCTGCACAAAATATCCTTGTAATCCAGAGCTGAGGGGACGTTCATTCCCAATGAATTTGGTGGCCCCCACTTTAAGCCCCTGTTGCAGCAGCTAAAATGGCTCAAGATTTTTTTCACACTGACTTTTTCACTCGGACCCTCCCAACCCATCCCTAGGCTCATGGCACCAGCAAGGCTATGGCCTCTACCCAGGGGCTGCTCTTCCATGCTGCTATTCTAATCAACCAGATAAAACCCACTACAGACTAAAACGAATTCTTGAAACTACAACTGGGACCCGTCTCTGTAAATAGAACAATATAAACTCTCTAGCTGCATTTCTCTCTGCCCTGAAGGAGAAAAACACTCCCACACAAACAGTGTCAAAGTTGACAAGTGCTTACATCCTTGAGACCAAAAAAAAAAAAAAAAAAAAAAGGCTCCAGATCTCTGGCAGAATGTTTACAGATAAACAAACATCTACAGAAAGGGGAAAAAAAGCTACAACAGATTATAGATGTTTGGAAGGCACGGGCTTCTGTTTGGAACGAGTCCCTTCTCTGCTGCTGCATAAAGTGAAATCATTAGAAGGGGCTTCGTGGGCTGTGTGAGGGGCCAGGTCACTGAGGCCTGAGGACTTTGTGGTCAGGCGGGGCTAGCTGCCCTGACATCAGAGGACACCACGTGAGGGGCAGTCGGTGGCCATCCAGAGCAGGCACACTGGGCTCAGTGAACTTGACTCTGAGCCTTGTTCCTATACCTCACCTGCAAAAGGGCCGACAATGGTTTTACGGGTCAAATGAGGTTTCTAATCTTTTCTTGATTAAAGAACCTTCATAATCAGTGGAGAGTCCAAAAGTCACTCGTTGAATATGAAGGAGTCCCACCCTCTCTGGAACCCTTCATTCCAGGTGTTCCTATTCAAGAGACATGCTGGTTCCTGCATCTCTACAACATCTGAATCTTTTCTAAAACAGAACTGGAAGCACTCTGTGTCCTGGGGTAGGAGTTAAGTCTCCAGACATAATGGCATCAGGAACCTCTCTCCTCCAGGCTGTGGAGATGAGGAAGGAGGAAGGAGGAAGAACTAGCAGGATGAAAAATTGTGGTGTCTTACTTATACACATTTTTTTGGTCATAGTGTATCTTTCTGAACTGGGCTTATGCCAGGATCTTGCCTAAGATCCTTCACATGATGGATACTTCGGTGGCTAATAAGATTCCTTAAAAATTCTTATAGTCAAGGGTCTCCGGTTTTCAAGAGATTTACTCTGGGACTGTACGAGGTCATGACTGCTTAAGAAAAATTTTTTAAAAGAAAACGAGAAAAAAAAGCGGAAGGGGATGTTGTAGCCAGGATTTAACAGATGGCAGCTGTTACCATTGCTGTCTGCTGTACCAGAGTGCTCTAGGGAAGGAATCATCCTTACCATGACAGTGAAGGGGCTATTGGGAATGTCAACTCCGCCAAAGCGCACGTAGATGACATAGGTGCCCGGCTTGGCGGCCGTGTAGAAGATGTCGTACGTGCCATCCTCATTCTCGATGACATCGGCCTCGGCCTCGGTGCCGTCGGGGGTCAGAACCGTGCAGGTCACCTTCCCCTTCCCGGCGGTCTTGGCATCAACCACAAAGCCCACTTCCTCTCCGGTTTTCACAGTGGAAGCGATTCCAGGGCCTGGAGAAAAGTTCAGGAGAAGAGAATGGAAGCTCCAGCAAAGGACAGCTGCCCTGGAGGCCCGAGAACAAACCACACCTTCGTGTGGTCTGTGTCGTCAATGCTCGACCCTCGACGGCGGCCACACGGGGCTGTCCCACAGATCACCCGGGGAAGGCGCTGCTCACGGGACTGTTCCATTCGTTACTCACTAAACAAGCTCTGAGTGTCAACCACATGTTGGACCCAGCTTCCGGCATTCAGGGGTCTGGGGAAGACAGTCAGCTTCCCGAAGCAGACATCTACGGGGCATTTTCTTAAGGGCCAGGTACACACAAAAGGGAACCAAACACAGTCTCTGCTCTCAAGATGTTCCTCATCTCACAGACTTTGCAGGCCTGGCACCAAGAACCACACAGCTTGATGTGCTGTGTTCACACAGAGGGGGAGCTAAGTTACAGAAAAAATGATGTCGTGCTTCAGGAGTGTCCTGTAGCACATCTCTATAAATAAAGCTCCAGGAGTCTGTATCCCACGGTTGCCACACCGACAGAGGACTTTCTGAGAAAACGGGTAGCGACTGAGTTCTGAAGGACAGGTACTCTTGGCTAGGGGAGACCTATCACCCCTGTCCCTAAACCATGACCAGTCTCTCTCTGACTGGTGGCACCCTTTCACGTGGGAACCACACAGCAGGGAATGCAGACAAGTGAACTAAAAGCCTACTGCAAAAAGAAAAAAAAAAAAAAAGGCAGAAAGTGTGTAGAAGCAACAGGGAATGCTAAGAGCATGTTGTTCACATTCCACTACTGGGAATGATAAGTAGCAGGGAATCTGGGGCCAGTCTGTAGAAGGCCTTGAATGACAGACCGAGATACGTAGCCTCCAGTAGCCCCCCGGCTGAGAGATGATTCTGCTCAGGATCTGCCCCAGCAAGGGAGGGAATAGGGTCCAGAGTGCAAGGAGTAAGTCCCTGCCCAATATTATCATTCCTATAGGCTAGTAAAGGCAATCTAATCATTCCTGGCAGACAGCATAGACCTAGGGTTAGGGTGGATTGGTTTGGCCAGTGGTTCAAAATTTCTCAATTTTTCAGCCCCAAATCACCATCTTGAGCAGTTTATAGCTTACTCTAAAAGCCAAAAGCTTTTCTCCATTTAGAGCAAGATAAGATATGAGAGAGAACACATCCAGGGTAAACCTATGTTTAATTTAAAGAGATGCAAATCTGTTTCATTTCAGAGATGGGGATTCATGTTTTGGAATCTGCTGGAATAGTATGAGAGTAGCAAGAGCTATTCTCAGGAACAAAAGGGTCCGTGGTTGTCTTAGACAGTCGTGTCTCAGAAGCTAAAGGGAGTGTGATGTTCCAATATTTCTGGAGATATTCTGAGAGCATGGGCATAGTCTCGAGTGCTAAGGAAAAACCTAGATCCTTGAATGCGTTTCTCTAATGCTGACCTGAATTACTCCTGAATAAATCTTGAATAATTAAACCATTTACTCATGAAAGGAAAGGCACACATTTGCAGCTTCTCATGGGAGCTGCTGCCACAGCTGAGATCTCAACAAACCCACCCACTTCAAAAAGTAACATAATAATAGCTTCCATGTGCCTGGCACTGTGCTAAGCATTTCTTATGCCTGACCTCATCTAATCTTTGCAATGACCCTGTGAAACAGTCTCTGATCCTGAGAAGAGTTTCTTGAATTCAAAAGTTCTCAGAAAGATCTTCCATCTAAGTCTGACTGAAGCTCAGAGTGGTTGAGCAGCTTGTCCTAATCACACAGGCATTAAGTGGCGGAGAAGGGCTAGCCCCTGGCTTTCTGACTCCAAAACCCACACTCACCTGTGGCCAGGCACTTGCTAGCATCTCCAGTCTGTGTGGCCCGGATGCGATAGGGAGACAGTGGGATGTCGTCCCCCCATAGGTGACCCCAATCATATAGCGTCCGGTCTTGTCAGGGATGTAGGTGACGGCATACGTGCCATCTTTATTGTCGTGGACAATGGCTCTTTTGGGTTTTCCCTCTTGGTCCTGTGGATCACAGAGAAATGCTACTTAGGATGTTGTCATCAAGACGTAAAAACCACTCATGGGAAACTGAGGCACATTTTGCTTATTAATTTATGTCTTATTCAGGAGGAGATAGAATTAATGGTTTAATACAATCTTTTCTTTTGGGGGGGGGTTGTGTAGGGAGAGGAGAGGCTCACAGATCTTTTTAACACCATATGGACATGGTCAATTTTTAGGAATTTTACCGTCACATGAACAAGTAGCGATTCAGCTCCGGATCAACTGAAAGGTAGAGAGACATGGGGGCAGAGATTCCTGCTCTTGCACCACCACATCCACTCTCCCTCTTTTCTATAGTAAAAGGCTGCCAATTCTTGGCTGGGTGCACTGCTTCCACTTCCTAGCAAACTCTGCCACTAGGTTATGGCCATATGACTTGTGACAAAGTTCCAGTAAATGAGAGGGAAGCAGAAGTCATACAGAGTTGCTCAAGATTGCTGATTGAGTTGAAAATCCCCCTTTCCCCTTCTGCCTTTCCTCCTCCTGGCAGCCTGCCATGTGTACCAGCTCATGGTCCATGAAGAGACCTCAGGACAGAAGCCACATGGCATCCAAGTGACTTGCCTCCGAGCTTCTTTAACAAGAGAGGATTGTCCCCTGTGTGAAGGAACTCTTATATACATAGTGCCTTAGTCCTAATTAATCTGATGAGTCATTTCAAGCATTTTATAACCAAAGCAGAGGAATACTAGATCAAATACTAGAGATCAAAATACATGAGATTCATTCAAACATGGTCCTTGGAGCCACACCTTCAGACATCTCACTCAGGCAAGCATATTTGTTCTTGCACAATTACTGACTCTCTGATGCGAACAAAATCCAACATTTGTATCAGGCCAGAAATTGGTTATTAAAAATCTTGTTTTTATCCTTGGCCCAGAATTAAGGTCTTTATTAATCAAGTTTGACTGTAGAAAATGACTCAAAGTTACCGTGATCTGAACAGCAAGCAGGCCTTCCCCAGCATCTCGGGCATCAATCGCAAATTCCACAGGCAGGCTGGCAGGCACACCATAGGAACTGAGGCCAGGGCCACTGGCAGTCACTTTGCTGGCATCATATGTGGGAAGAACCTTGACCTTAAAGGGACTTGAAAGACACATACATATCCCAGTCAGTGTGGACACCGTCATCTCAGCTACATTTGATCTTTCGTACACAAAGAGACTGGGCTTGAGAGAGGGGGATTTCTATAGCAGGTAAGACAGCGAGTGCCTTATGGACTTTAAATCCAGCAAAAATTTAAAACCATGTGACCATCATATGCTTTCTGTGAGTGCATTCCACGGGATACACACTAATCCCCAATTCAGTTTGGGAGACACGGTTAGCTCATTTTTGTTATGCTAAGAAAATGTTCACCAAAATGGGAAGGGAATAGTAGAATTAGGAAACAATGCTGGAATGATAAAATTATCATTTCATCTCATCTTCTTCTATTTTTAATATACTTCAGATGGCAAACTACCTATTAGCAAAGTAATACATAAATGTAATTTATAAATTACATACTGCTACATACTTAGAGCTATATGTGTATCTCTATATAAAAATGTGTATATTAGGGGTATGGGTAAAATTTTTTCATCCTAAGGGGTATGAAAAGAATCCTTTGGAGACTGTTCCGAGAGAGGAAGAGCATATGCAACATTTCATATTCGTTTGAATGAGGAACAAGGTTTCTATCCAATACCCTCTGGGAATACTACTGTCAACCAAATCCTCAAGTAAAGAAGTGAAAAAGTAAAAAATCTTTGCTCTAATCAGAGAACTACCTGCAAGGTCACTGGAAAGAAGAGCTTTGATGAATTAACACATTCCTTGTTTCTTCAAAGATTCTCAACTCCTTAATTTCAGCTCATCTTTAAATTAAAGATGGCCAAAAGGAACAAAATAGGAGGGTACAGGATACCAAGAGAGGATCTGCCACAGATATCAAGGCTAGTGTGTTGTAACACCTGTGCATAGAATGCAGGTTCTCGCTGATACCTGCTGATCAGATGGATGGATGGGTAGACAGATGGGTGGGTGGGTGAGTGGATGACAGATGGGTGGATGGATGGGTAGACAGATGGGTGGATGGTTAGGTTAGGCAGATGGACAGATGGATAAATGAATGGATGAGTGGTCACCAGGACAGTGCTGGCCAATCTTACAGAGGGGTGGGCTTCAGGTTGGTTTGGACCCCCTTCTATAAGTGTCAGGAGCTTACCTACGAGGGATCTCCTCATCAGCATATTTAACTGAGACCATGTAAGGCCCTTCCTGGGACGGGGTGTAGGTCACTGTATGTGTGCCATCCCCGTTGTCCACTATGTTCACTGGCTCCACCAGGCCTGAGAAAAGAAATGAAAGGTCTTGAGGAACTACTTAGACTCTCCTTCACTCTACCTTCGGCTTAGCTTGAACAGAATCACATTCATCCCCAAGAGCTATTGGTTTTCACTTATGAGTAACATAAAGGCAAGCAGGCCATAATCAGAGGCCCAAGAAATCACAGGAGACAGGATCCCCAATTCATGGTTGCAGAAATGACCCCAAGAGACACCTTTAGCTTTCTGTTGGCTAAAGTACACTCACTGAGCCCTTGAATATAATTACGGAGACTGCCTGTGCTTGTGCGAAGACACGTGTTGTAGGCATGCTATCCCCTTTCAAGCTGGTGAGGCATGCTTGGGATGTGGCAATTTTCCTCTATAGCTGAGGTACAGCCAAAGAGTCCACAACTCTGAACAGCAAAAGTTAACTAATGGGCTGGCCAGTCAAACTTATGGTCACCTTTGAGCACAGACCATTATGGTGCCAGCAGGCTGGGTGTAAGTGCAGGGCAGGAGAGAATGCCAATCTCGTGGGGTGAGGGGATCTTCAAAGTGATGCCTGCGGGGGATGGTTAGACTATGTTAAAGCATAATCAAGGCAAGCATTGGGTTGGTAGATTCCAGATCCCAGTTCTGAACATGAGCATCAAGAATGGGTCGATTGCAAGGTAGGTTAAGCAAAGCATGGCACACTCATTAAGCAAAGCAGATGAGGCAAGAATAAGGCAATTTTAGGGGTGAGACTAGCAAGAGGCATTCAGATCACATATATTAGAGCAGCAGCCAATAGGAATATGCAAACCTGTCTCCGTAAAGTCACCCTTCGGGTCACCTTTAAAGAACTCTGAAATGGCTTTCAAGGGGCTGCGCCATGACTGGGAATCCATCTCATCAGCTAAAATTAAAAGGCTGTTACTTCTGAGGCTTCCATAATAATATAATAGAGATAGATATCTAAGTAAAGCCTCCCCCTCTCTCATACACACACTCACACTCTCTCTCTCTCTCTCTCTCTCTCACTCACACACACACACACACACACACACACACACACACACACACACACACAGGTCTTAAAGCTCAGTAACTATGCAGAATCAGATTCCAGCCCCATGACCTCATTTCCCTCAAACCACATCTGCCCTGAGCTTCAAAGGGCATAACCTCCTGCTGAACCCCATTAAGTAGAAAGTTCCTCTTCAAAGAAGGAAACCCTCGTTTGCCACTTCTGTAAAGCTAACACATCACTAGGGAAAAATCCAGATAATTTAAGAAATTAGGGAGAGAATGGCACATTTTAAATACCGGAAGAGGAAATGTGATGGCCTACCAAATAAGGTAAATTTCAATGCACTTCAGGGCTCTGTCCCAAAATGGCCTGCTGGTCATACCAAACCCCAGTTCCAGTCTGCCAACAAGGCAGGCCAAACTGTCAACAAAGGCCATTTCCCAAGAGATCCTCTCCCTCCAGGAAGTTGGGACAATGACAAAGGCATGCGTCCCATGGGCTGCGTAGCTGTCGTTTCTAGAAATTTGGGGTGTGTTTCACATGGGCACCAATGTGGAACAAGGTGCTACAAGGCATCTCAAAACCCATTACTTCTGAACCTACTGCCCACCCAAATTCTAGGCCAAACCCAGTCACTGCACAAATGCAGAAATGTACATGTGAGAGCCCAAATCCTACTGGCTTCATCTCACTGCTTAAGAAAAATGAAAATTTAGGGATCCCTGGGTGGCGCAGCGGTTTAGCGTCTGCCTTTGGCCCAGGGCGCGATCCTGGAGACCCGGGATCAAATCCCACGTCGGGCTCCTGGTGCATGGAGCCTGCTTCTCCCTCTGCCTGTGTCTCTGCCTCTCTCTCTCTCTCTCTGTGTGTGACTATCATAAATAAATAAAAATTAAAAAAAAAAAAAAAAGAAAAATGAAAATTTACAAAGACATTGAGAGACATGTTATTAAGTGGAAAGACCACTAGAGAAATAAGAGGTCTGCCTGCTTTTAAAAGCAGGAGCTTCGAGGCTGAGCCTAGGTAGCTCTGCTGGTTAAGTATTCAACTCTTGATTTCGGCTCAGGTCATGATCTCAGGGTTGTGAGATCGAGCTCTGCATCAGGTTCTGTTCTCAGCAGGCAGACTGATGGAGATTCGTCTCTCTCCCTCTGCCTCTGCGGCTCCTCCTACTCTTTCTCTCTCTCAAAATAAAGAAATAAAAGTTTTAAAAATCAATAAATAAAAACAGGAGCCTCTCCTGTTTAGGTAGGATATGGAGCAATAAAGTAATTTAAGAAATTTGCAGTTCATGACCAAACTCAAAAATAAAGTGCCTGCGCTGGGTCACAGTTGCCCCCCACTGGGGCAGAGCTTCCGGCAGGAAGGCAGGATGTATACTCACCTCGGGGGCCCAGGACCCTCACTTCCAGCGGGGCCAGGCCAGCCTTGCTGCTGTCCACCGTGAAGGACTGTAAGATGTGGGCTCGGACACCGGAGCCCAGCCCAGGGCCAGCGATCTTGACCTTGCTAGGATCCACCACATCCTTCACAGGAACTCTGAAGGGACTGCCTGGAAAAGAGGTCCCAGGGCTTTGAGCACAGCTCACGTAGTGCCAGGAGGCCTGCCTTGTGTGCACCCATGGGCATCCTCCACAGGCATGCATCAAGCCATGTGCTGGGCCCAGAGTGGTTAATGCCCACCCCCCCGGGAACCCACAATGCGGGAGAAGGGTGAGGAAAACTAGAAGTAGAACATCACACTAAACAGATGTTGGAGGCATGTATAAACATTGGTGGAGCACTTAAGAGGCAACAAATCTGGTCTTCAGGAGGCCAGAGGAAGCTTTCCAGTGATATGTAAGTTGAGATGAGAGAGAACAGATAGCACCCAGGAAACAGATGGAGGGGGTTTTGAGCACAGTGATAGGCACATGCAGATCCCTGGAGGTGAGGTAGAAGACAGGCTGTCAATGAAGCAGAAGGACGACGCTGAGTGGTGGAAGGAAGAAGTGCAGACTGCTGCAGAGGTGGCTGGGCCTTGTGGCCCACATCTTATATCCTCTCCCCAAATAGCTCCTGAGGGCTTCCTGGAATCCTTGCCTTACAACACAGCCCACAGCTTCCTGCCACGAATGGCCTGCTTGGTTCCCTGGCCATTGGGTGAAGCCTTGCTCTTTCTCCCTGTCAGCTATGGTCCTCCTCCTGCACGGCTGACCCCAAAGGGACTGGGGGCCTCCAACTCTTTGAAGGTATTGGTTTTAAAGACCAAGGAAACAGGAGTGCCTGGCTGGCTCAGTCAGTTAAGTGTCTGCCTTCGGCTCAGGTCATGGTCTTGGGGTCCTGGGACTGAGCCCTGCATTGGACTCCCTGCGCAGTGGGAAGTCTGCTTCTCCCTCTTTGTGTGTGTGCTCTCTTGCTCTCTCTCTCTGAAATAAAGATCATTAAAAAAAAAAAAAAAAGAGCAAGGAAAGAGAAAATGTTGTGTGATCAGGATTTGCAAGAGAAGTACTAAACAGAAAAGTAGGGCTGGGTCAGAGATCCTCATGGGATTCCCCCACCAACATGGACGAAGTAAGAACCCCCCAGAGGTGAGGCAGAAACAGGAGCCCCAGTGTCCCTGACATCATGCCTCCTCAGGCTACCAAGTTCATCACCAAGGGGTGACATGTGCCTCTTGCTATGTGAGGAGTCTTTGTGCTCTCCAAGAAGGCTGGCAAAATTAATAACTTGTAACTGCCACACAAACTCAGATGTCCCTGCTTGGCCTGCCTCAAAATTTATCTATTGTAAAATAGAGTGGTAGATTAAAAGATCACAAAAGAGTAGAGGTCTTGCCTTTTTAACAATAGCTGGGTTTCAATGGCATCAAATTTTCCAGCTAACTGAAATAAATGGCTGACCCTGGCAAAGACAAACATGACCTTCCAGGCGGGTGTTTAGGGGAATAAAAGGGACCTTCATTTCACAGAAAAACAGTTGAGAATTTCAGTGTCAGCAGCTGATGACAATAGACTACCTCTGAGGCTAATCTCCAAGTCAGAGCTTCCCCTGGAAGGTGTCTGAACTTAGCATGAGAGCAGCCAAGAAGTAATAAGAGAACTTTAGAACTTTAGGTGGTAGATACCAAGCATTCCCCAGGCAGACAGCTAAAACCAATCACGGCAGCTTTTCTTCCTGCTTATCCCACGTGATCTAGTTGACCCAAAAGCCACCACCAACCAACCACAGCTGGCCCACCAGAGGAATCCAATACGCCACAGTGGGCAAGACAGCATATCTCATCAAAAATAACCCCACTAGGGGGTTTATACCAGGCCAGTAAACACTGGGCTAATGTTTAACCAACAAGAATTCCCATGAAAGCAAATAAGAAGCCAGAAGGTTGTTGAATGTTTCATAGCAACACCTCATGAGGTCCTCCAACACGTGAACAACCACTTCCAGTCAAAATGCCAAGCCAACACATTTCGCCAGGTTACTGGTCCTATTGGGAGTTGGGATATTCATGGAGACACACCCATAAGGAAAATTCTCCCTTTGCAGCTACTGCAAATATTAGACTCTTTTTCCCATTCAAAGATAAGCAAAACAAAACCTGCTTTCATGCCACATCAATTATTCTTTGGGTACCTTTCTGAGGGATAGCTTACCAGGGATGTGGGCTCCTCCATATGTAATGTTAACATCGTAATCCCCCGGAGCAAAGGGGATGTACTCAGCACTACAGCTTCCATCTTTGTTGTCTCTGCAGTTGATCTTTGACTCTGACGGTCCCTCAACAGTTATGCCAAGCCCACCAATTCCTGCCCCTCTGGAAAGTGTGGAAAAGAAAGCAAAGTAGTTCTAGTGGTTCATGCTGGTCTGTTTATTGCCAAAATTATTTTAAAATCCCTCCATACGCAATCCCATTTAGCCAACCTGGCTCAACTACCGTGACACTTCTGCACAGAAAATTCCTCAACGGTGTAATATAAAGGCAGCTTTGACCCCTCCTCCGATGCTTAGCCTTCATTTTTTTTTTTCCTATCTAATTGTATTGGCTAAGACTACCAGTACAATCAGGTATGTGACATGTGATGAATTTTAGGAGGAATACTTCTAATACTTAACTATGAAATTGGCTATATGTTTCTACATTATCAAGTTAAGGAGTTTCCATCTAGTTCTGGTTTACTCAGCAATTTTAAGACTTTAAGTGAGGGTTTTCTGGTACTTTTTGAGGTATACTGGCCTTTCTGTATAGCATAAGGCTTGACAAAAGAACATGCCTGGGGATCCCTGGGTGGCTCAATGGGTTTAGCACCTGTCTTTGGTCCAGGGCGTAATCCTGGAGTCCCGGGATTGAGTCCCGCGTCAGGCTCCCGGCATGGAGCTTGCTTCTCCCTCTGCCTGTGTCTCTGTCCCCCTTCTCTCTCTATGTCTATCATGAATAAATAAATAAAATCTTAAAAAAAAAAAAAAAAGAACATACCTAATATGCCATGAAAAAAAAAAAAAGCCTCTCAAAAGTTGGGAGACCATAACACCTACGCAGAATATACCCATACAACTCCTTCCGAGCAGTTAAACTACCTAGGGCTACTCCTTTTAGAGAGTCAACACATAGATCCCAGGACCTTCCTCACCTGGTAACAACAGTGAAGACATTGGGTTTGTTGGTAAAGGCCTCTTTCAATCCTGGTCCTTGAGCCTGGACTCGAGATGGCTGGCAGCCTTCGGTTACAGCCACTTTGAAGGGACTATTTGGGATGGGCACATCATCATATGTCACCTCCACTACATGGAGACCTGTTCAAAACGACAAACAGAAACATAATTGCACAGGAGTCATCTATTTCTGGGAAATAACACTCTGTAGAGTTTCATCTAGCATTCTCATCTACCTGCTACCCCACGTTATTTGAAACAAGCAGGTTAAAGAAAGGTATCAGTTTGATCTGATTTTTTAAAAATATAGCTATTTATTTATGCTTCCTGTTCACTTGGCAGCCACATAACCCTCTCTCCCCAGTACACATACACACCAGGCCTCTCCCCCAAGCAAATATCACGAAGTCTGTATTCAAGTTAGTCATCTTAAATGTACTATCCTGATTTGGAAAAACTCCATCTGGTCGTTAGCCAAGAGACAAAGGGAAATCCATGAAATCGAATATACATGCATCTACATAAAAAGATTGAAAGTATCTATACCAGAATCTTTATAGGAATTATATATTCAGGTAATGAGAATATATGGTACTTTCATTTTTTTCTTTATCCTTTCCTGATTTATCAAACATTTCAATAATTTCTAATATTCAGGAAAGAAATTATGTAAACAAAATTATACAAAAGGGCAATATGCCATGACATCAAGCTGCTCAGAGGAGCCTGAGACTAAACCTGGCCCAACTGTCACACAGCAGGCCCAACATGTCAGGCACTGAGCAAGCACTGGCTCTGTTGGGGAAGAAGGTTTCTACGTGTCCCTGTCTCTTTGTCCATGCCTCTGCTGAGACAGGCCAGACAACCCGGGGTAGGAGTCAGTACCAGTCACCAAAGGAAACGGCCTAGCATGGCTCTGAATGACAGTCGTGTCCAAGCAGAAGTCATCTCACCTTTCTCAAAGGGTGTGTACTCCACCTGGTAGGTCCCGTCGGCATTGTCCGTGACAAAGCACTCGGTAGAGGCCCCTGAGGGGTTGGCAATGTGGGCCTTGATGTGGTCACCCCCAACTTGTGTCAGGGGCCGTGAATCAACTGTGAAGTCGGTGGTGGCTTCGCGAAACACATCTGCAGAGCAATCACACAGATAAGAACATCACCGACACCCAGGACCTTGGACCAAATCCAAGAACCAGGGTTCTTGGCACTTTAGGTATGTTATGTCTAATTTCAGTGACAATAGACAACTGTTTTCTCTGACTCTCCAAATCAAGAGTATTAATGACCACCTCCCCCACCCGCCCCGCAACCACCCTGTAAAAGCTCCTTCTTCCCAGGTAGCCTGTCGAAGCTCCTCCTCCCAGCCCTTCCCACTGGTGACAACATAACTCCTTGCATACTTTTTAGACAAAGGTGGGGTTAGTGCTACGACAGTTTAAAAGACAGATTTGCTCTACAGCAAGTATGGTATTAGTATCACGTTTTAAACCTTGTCAATTAAGTGCCAAAAAATGAAAGATCTTGAATTTCCACATAAAAAACAAGATTTCTGGCTTTGCCAGAGAAATAGGAAAATCTGCTGGCAGTGATGAGCCCCATGCCCCGTAGAGAAACAAAGTGAGGGCTGGGCAGCAGAAATGCCACATGCTCACCCCTTTGCTGTGGTCCCTCTCTTCCTGATGTAGAAACCACAGGTGAGTGTTTTCTTATACCCCACCTGGCCCCAGTGGGCATATTAGTTTGCAGCTCTGCTCTGCATTTCTGGTGACCCCTAAGTCCCAAGTTATTTTGCAGTCTCCCTCTTTTTTTATGAAACCCACCTTTTCCTTCTATGCCTGGCCCAAAGACTTTGACCCTGCTGGTGTCCACGGCGGGCTCCACCTTGACCCTGGCAGGGAAGTGGGGCACGAGCTCGCCACCATACTTCATGGTCAGCGTGTACATGCCGGCTGTCAGGGGCACGTAGGTCACTGCGTAGGTACCGTCTTTGTTGTTTTCAATACAGACTTCAGCTTTCGCTCCCGAGTCTGAGATGGCTTCCAGGCCCAGGGCCCCGGGCCCTGCTTCCGAACAGTCAACACTCAGCAGCCCGGCTTCACCCACTTTCCCATGCTGGAGACCTGGTCCTGAAGCCACGACTTTAGAGGGGTCAAAAGGCATTTCAATATCAGCTTTGAAGGGAGAACCAGGTATGTGGACTTCTTCAAAGAGAATGTTGACGAAGTATTCCCCAGGCTTCGTGGGCAGGTAAGAGACGGAGCAGGTGCCGTCACCATTGTCAGAACATTCAATTTTGGCTTCACATGGACCTTCCACGGTGAGGCCCAAACCTCCAGTGCCTGCTCCTTTGGTGTCGATGGTGAACTCGGCAGGCTTGCCCACGAGACCACCTTCAAGGCCAGGACCATGGGCCTTCACCTATTTGAACAGAGAATAAAAGTCAAAGTCTGCCTGATGCTCAGCCAGCACTGCTTAACCTCTAAGCCTGCAATCAGCACTGAGCTGCATCTTAGTTGAGTGGCCCTCCTCCCTGGGGTCTCTGAGTCAGACCACAGAGTTAGAGCCATAGTGCCATCCAGGCTGTGAACAGCTACGAGAGGGAGACAACGCCTGAAAGCCACAGCCCAGAGGCGTAGCCCTCCGAAGCACGGGGCATGACTTCCCCTCCTGCTGCACCCAGCATTTCTGAACCACAGGGCCGCAGGTGGAGACCTAACGTCTGGTCTAACAAACACACGCAGGTCTGAACGTTTATAGGATGGTTTTATGGACCTTTCTGTTGCTTTGACAGCTACACCTCTCAACAAATTCCATATAATAAAACATGACACTGGAGTGGTGGATATGTGTCATTATACATTTGTCTAAACCTGTAGGATGCATAGCACCCAGGGTGAACCCTCCTGTAAACTCTGTATCTGGGGTGAACAGGATGTCAAGGCAGGTTCATCCATAGTAATACATGTACTGCTCTGCTGGGGGAGGTTGTGCACGTGCAGGCACAGCAGGTAGCAGGGAAATCTCTGTACCTGCCTCTCAATTTTCTACAGACCTAAAACTCCAAACACTATGGTCTAATACAAAAATTTAAAACCAAACAGACTAAACTACTTTTCAAAGGTGGGGCCAGGGCTTTCATTTCTGATTCAACAAATAAGAGAGTTTTATAGGACTCATGCTACTGAGACCACTGAAAATACTCTAAAGCCCTGGATTCCGGGCTACTAGGAAGAAATGATAATGAGCCTAATCTATTTTTCTATTGAGTTAAATAATTTCTGCAGGGTGAGCTCACCTGTCATGCCGGCCACTGGGCTCTCACTTTGCCCTCACAGGCTCATTGTGAAGCGAGTGCTGCTATCATGCTAACAAATGGGAGGAACAGGACTTAGGGACAAGGAGTACCTCACCAAAGCCTCACCACCAGCGAGCAAGAGAAGGAGCAGTGGGGAGTACACCCAGCTGCCCAAGGAATCCTCAGGCTGAGATGTAGGACAGAAAACTACTGTCAGCCATTAAGAATGGACTTTCCTTGGAAAATAACTTTCCAAAGACCACTGTCACGCAGGATCAGTGAAGGACTACAATGGTATATTGGACAACAGGAGACAAAGTCCTGGTACAGAAACCAAAGCTGACCTTGGTGGGATCCGGTGGCAGTGAGGCCTCCACTGTGTAGGGGCTTCCAGGCACGGGGTGTCCGTCGTAGGTGACATCTACAGCGTATAGCCCCTCCTCCCGAGGGATGAACTTGGCCGTGCTGCCCTCCCGGCCTGCCACGGGTGCCACCAGACACGGCACAATCTTCCTTGAGGGGCTCGAGATCGTCACATCCAGCTTTCCCTGGCCGCCTGCTCCCTTGGTGTCGATGGCGAACTCCTGCCCCTGCCCTACTTCAACTCCTGGAAGAGAGGAATACGCCCTAGTGATGAGCTGACCCTTTGCAGCAGCAAAAACGGCTGAAAGCAGAACAGTGTTGGTTCCCTGGACATGAGGCCTTATCTTGGCATGTCCAACAAGCAAGGGTACCAAGGACAAGAAGAAAGACTAAGTTGGGATAATCAGCATTTACCTGGATAACGACCAGTATAGCTACTCGCTAATAATGATACAGATGACAACGACAGCTGACACGTACGGTTACAATAATGATTGGTTACTTACTGCCTGCACTTTATCCCCAGGCTCAGGACAGCACATCATCTCCTTTCATTTTTACCACAATCCTCTAGGGTATTATTAGTTACCAATGGCTTTAACAAACTGAGGCTCAGAGGGTAAGGAATGTGTGCAGGGTGCCATATGCAGCAGACCACAAAGGTGGGACTCACACGTAAATTTACTTGACCCCACATTCTGCTCTGCCAACTTATAATCTGACACCGTCCTCTCTCCTTTTACTTACTTTTGGTGTTGACTTTGTATCAAAACATCCCCATAAGCCAATGTTTTATTTAATAATCCTTGGCAGCAAATTTAATCCCATAGCCAACAAAGCAAAAGTCACCAAGCTGGCCAATGCAGGGGCACCAATGAGAATCTGAAAAACGGACTCTCTGGGCTGCGCTGGTATTTGAAAGGTCTCTGCAAAGCAGGGCCATGGAAAACTCATGTGTTATACTTGACAAAAAAGGGGAAAGGACTAGGGCGCCTGGCTGGCTCAGTCCATTAAGCAGCTGCCTTCGGCTTGGATCGTGATCCGGGGGTCCTGGGATTGAGCCCTGTGTGGGGCTTTCTGCTCAGTGGGGAACCTGCTTTTCCCTCTCCCTCTGCCACACTTCCTGCTTGTGCTCTCTCTCTCTCAAATAAATAAATAAAGTTTTTTAAAAAAGAAGGGGGGAAAGGACTTTGAACCAAAATGAAAGCACTGAGAGCATAGGGCCCCCACCACAAGCCAAGGAAATCCTGATTCTAGGGTCACAGGGGGCCTCCCAAGATACGCACTGCCTAATCACAAGCAAGGAGGCCATAGAGTGCCATGGTCCAAAGGCTTGCCCTAATCTGCACTGCACCTTCCTGGTCTGGAATTGAAGCCCTTAGCTATCTTATAGAAAGGAGCAATGAAGAGATATATGAAAGGCCTGGATAATGACTTTCATATGCTCAGCCCTCCAGTGACAAAGCTGGCATCTGGCTCTTGCTTCAGAGAGCCCAGAACTGGGAGGTGGCCTTCTTCACAATTCATGCATTTGAGTCACAGGTCAGTGAAGGTGCTCAACCATGGTCCACCAAGACCAAATAGGCCTGCCCAGGGCGGGGGGGTGGGGGTGTATGTGCGCTGAGCCCCACATGACCAGGCAATCAGGTGAATGTGTGCCATTGTGGTGTGGTCAGGCTACGGCCACATGGCAGCTCATGCCAACAAGGGGACACAGATGTGAATGTTCTCCAAGACGCACTGCTGATGTCAAAAGGCAGGCTGAAGACATATGCATAGAGCAGGGTAACTTTAATGCAAAATGAACATTGCCAAATGTTTTCTGCTGGCATATATGCATGTATAGATGTAGAGAGAAGGTCTGGAAGAACAGAAACTGAACGGCTCACTTTGGTTAACCCTAGGAAGAGTAAGAGGTGATGGTTAGAGTGGAGTTTACTCTCAACTGTGACTTTTTTTGGGTGAAAATGGATTTATGCATTACTTGCATAAAAAAAGAATTTTATGATCATGTGGTGAACTTTTGAAGCCAAGTGGTAAATACTTCAGTGTTCATATTACACGACTGTCTTTCCTTTTGTATGTTTGGAATTTTCCCTAATAAAACAAATTAAAACATTTTAAAATAATGAAATGAGCTAATACTAATAAGATACCTACCAAACCAAAGGAATATTGGGGTGGGGTGGGGGTTGTGGTTTCTGAGTTGCCAGAGAGTTGGCTTTTATGCTTGAGTGTCCACCCGCATATGAATTCCATGGCCAAGGACAGCTAAACACAGTAGAAAGTCACCAGAAGGCAATGTGTCCCAACTTCTCTTTGTAATAAAAACGTCCCACCGCGATGCCGGCAGTTACCAAGGGCTATGTGCCAGCCCCTGAATTACGAGCTCATTTAACTTTCAAAATATTCCTGTGAATGTTAAGTGTTCTTGACCACCCCTCCTCCACAGTAAAAATGAGGAGACCGAGGCTTGGTGAGGTTAAGCACAGGTAGGGTCACAGAGCTACCCCAGTGCATGGCCCCAGTTCTGCCCCACTGCAAAATCTCTTAAGGCACGATTTGCTTCTCTGCAAACTGTCTTTTGAAGGGAATCTAATTGGCAACCCTGGTTGGTGGTCTTCGGTGACCTGTCTCCCCTCCATCCACACACTTACTGTTTTCCAGCCCATTAATTTTTATCTTGCTCAGATCCAGCGGAGCAGCCACGCCCACGGTGAAAGGGCTTTTAGGGATGGGGTCGCCACCATACGTAACCAGAACCTGCATGCTGCCCTGGAACGAGAGGAAACAGAGTGCACCTTTGGGCACCAACATCTAATGTGTTGTTTAAACCTGCCTTCCAGATCTTTCATTCCTCCAGAGACACAGGGCACTTGCCTCCACGGATTTAGACCACCACAAACATAGTTCTCTAAGCTTCTGGCCCCATGGCAAAAACTACTGAGAAGTCAGATAAAATCAGAGCAACGAATAACAACAAGCACACATACTCAGTGCTTTTAAGCATTGTCTGGACTCAATCTCCAAACGGTGGTTCCCATCGATGTCGCCATTTTTCCAGTAAAGGAAACTATAGCTCAGGGAAGTAGTCACTTGCCCCACATCACATGCCTGGTAAGTCTGAGAGTTCATACCCACGGCACCCAGATCGGTGTCCCAGCTGCTCTGCCCCACTACCTCCTACGCAGCCACAGCTGACCCCAGCCATGGGTAGAGCTGCTGGGTATGGGAGCCTCTAACTAAACAAAACCAGCTTTCTCCACGTCTTGGAAATCAATTTCAGGCCACTAGACTGAAAGGGATTTGCACACTAGAGCAGTCTCTAAACTCCCACATCTATGTCAAGGAAAGAAAAGTTGCCAGTGTGAAGGGAATCACGTCCACGGGCTTGGCAGGTCCCTTGTTAGCTACCTGGGGGGCACAGGAGTGCAGTATGACCATATGTGCCACGGCTGCTCTCCTCCAGCCAGTCCTGGCCCACTCACTGCTGGCCTCCCTACCCCCTGCCAAACCAAGGCTCCATGAAAGCCCAGGCCTGTCTCAGTAGATTAGGATCTCCCTCACCTCAAACACCCCAGGCATAATGTAAGGGGAGGTGGAGGGAGAGACTATGCCCCCTCAAGAATCTGGGGGGCTCACCAGAATTCAGGCTCTGCTGAAAGCTGTCAGTGATCAAGTGTTAAAAGGGTGTAGCTTTTGGCTCTTATATATTTTCTCACATTGCTTTCAATAATAAAAAAGGGGGAGAAAGCCAAGAAAAAATTTGGTTGCATCAATGAAGGAAGGAGGATTGATTCTCCAGGATTTATAGGCAATGAGCACAAACCAACTGGCCCCCTGCCTCAAGGGTGTAATATTTCATGATAGAAGGTACACGGGTCAGATCCAACAGAGTTGAGAGCCAGCCTGGGACAGGAAAGGTCTTCTCTTTGTAATAAGGACGTCAGGGGGTGACTTGTGACTTCAGCCGCCATGGCACTCCCATCATGCTAGCTCTTCCCAAGGTTCAATTTGCCCACAAGCCCCTAACTCCTTGAGGGATAGGCCTCACAGCGATCATGGAAAAAGCTTCTCCACCAGCCCCTCTCAGTCTTCTGATTGCATCTCTGGAGTACCACAGGAGAGGGAAAAATCCCTTCAGTTAAGCCTACCCATCTCATAAAAGAACATGTGTTCTCATTACCAGTCATAAAAAAAAAAAAAAAAAAACCTCAGATAGGAAATTTACTCTACCTCAAATAACCTAACAGGGGGGAGGAAGAAATCTTAGGAGACTTACACCTGCAATGGCTTGTAGCATTTTAAGGTCTCCTCTGAAGCCCCGCTAAGGAACGGACTGTGCTTTTCCCCTGGAGGGTGGTGACATGAGGAATGTCTGAGCAATGACCACTGGTGCGTTTCACAAAGACCTTGCTGACGGCAGAACAGTTTTATTCTTTCCCCTCTGTGCCTCTGAGACCTTAATCCTGAACAGCACACGAATGTAAGACTCTGACCCTAGAGCTCAGGTAAGGACTGGATCAAGTGAGCTACTCACAGCCCCTTCCTCAGAGACCTCCAGGACAGGCAGGGAGGCTCAGTGAAGCTACAGGGTCTCCTCAAGGAACTCCCAGAAAGTACGTGGGGGTTTCAACTTCCAGTGGCTTCTGACCTGGTGGGTCATGGAGCTGTTGCCACCAGCTTCTCAAAGTGCTCACTCTACATGAGGGAACATGGGCTTGAGAAACTGGAAGTCCCCTGAGGGCACAGACAACCAAAAGCATAGAAGTCAAAATCCTTGGGAGAATATGGCATTGTGTGATCTTCCTTCCATAAAAATCAAGCCGTTGTCCCACCTCTGGTAGGATCCTGAAGCCCCAACCCAACAAGTGACACTCTACTGCCACCAAAGCAAAAAGAACTCTGACCACTGTCTTCTAATAAGACTGCGACTGGCCCACTACAGGTAGGTGGGCATCTGCAAGCTGTCACTCAGAGACCCTGCAGGGGACAGCAGCAGCCCGCAGGTGCCAGGGAGTGAAGAGTCAGCAATTAGGCAGGGCTCCAGATCCTCACGCAGCACAGCCTGTATTCTGAGGGCGACACGCTCACCTGGGCCAAGACCCACTGCTGTCTCTCCACACACACACACCAAACAACTACATTTCTGGAAAGTTCCAGCCTGTTATTCCCCAAAGGGAATAACCATGAGAAGGTGCACCTGTGGGCATCAGCCATGTTGGGCACAGCCTTCTGGGCTGACCTCTTAACCACATCCAAGGGCACAGCTCAGAAGGCAAGCTAGTTCAACCAATCCTGAGCTGTATGCTGCTCTTCAGAAAAGACAGATCAAAGGTGTGTTGGCCCCACTCTCCCTACAAAGTTCCTGAGTGGTCTCTGCTTGAGAGTAGAGGCGCAACTTTGTGTATTTCCCCCTTTAAGCTGTCAATTCAAGCAAAGAACCCTGTTCTCAACACTGGGGATGGAAAAATATTTATGACATATATACAAGGACATGATGTCCCATCGTCAGGGAACTCACGAAGAGAAGAAATTCAATTTGTTTTATTTCCCATAGAGAAATATACAGAACTGCAAGTTGCCCCAAAAATGAAACCATAAACTTTGCTCTAAACTCCAAACAAGGATCAGAAAGGCATCATGTGAGCCATCCACACTGGAGGCAGTGACTAACACCAAGACTCTGCCCGGCTTCTTGGACATATGACAGGCAGCATCTGAACAAAGCCCCAAGTGGCCATCGAGCCTGCCAACAAACCTGCTATTATCAAAGAAATGGATGAACTTGACCTTGGGATGACTTTGAACAAAGAAGCCTCCCACTTTAGCCTCCACCTCTGCCCCAACTGGCAGCTGGTGCATCCAGGGCAAGAGGTTCTGAAGCCCTTTCTGGGAGTACAGGCTAAAACCTGACTCTGTCTTAATGTGTGCAACTTCCTTTCTAATGGCTCAGCCAAAACCCCAAAAAGCTGATAGATAAAGAATAAAGCAAGAGTCTCAAAATGTTTTTAGTAGAGTCTAATAAGACCTTATGACCTTGACCAGTGTGCATGGCTGTGCTTTCTGGTACCTTCTCCTAAGGAATGTAGAGAACAGGCAACAAGGATGATGTCAGGCTCGTGCTCCCAGTGGTGAGTCTCCCTCTGGCCCTCATCATGAGGAGGAAAAGAATTACCCATTCAGCATTGAGCAGCCTGGATGGGAAGAGTATTTTATCTACAAAAGTATTATTACCATTGCTAACAATGAACCCCTCATGAAGGTAAAAACAAAGAACGAAATAGGAAGAAGCACATCTGGATATAAGAGGCCACATCTGTACTATAGTACACAAGAATTCACCCTGCAGAACCCCTCCCACTGCTACAGATGTTCTCACAGTAAAGATTCCATCTCCGAGGATATGTAGCCCCCTAACGAGGGGACACCTACACCACCCCCTCATCCTCACCGTACTTCTCATTCCTTCCCACTAGACTCTGGGCAGCTCCTCACTGACTGCCAGGAGAGCAATGCTTCTCAGGTGTTGTTTCTACAGAACACATCACCCCTGTCCTCCCACAGAGGGTACCTCACACAAGGGAGACTGTTTTCCTCAGGAAAGAAGAAACCCGAGAGGTTTGCAATGGCTGTGTAGAACACTACACAGAAAAATAGCAAAACCCAGGCTTTTCTTCTGGGTTAGTTGTTCCTCAGACCCCAAAGGTGTGGCCATGAAGCAAAACCCAATTTTGAACAAATTAACATGAATTCATACAGAGTAGCAGTTTTTTAGGTGCTTCTTGCCTAAAACAATCAAAGCAAAGTGGCCTGGATCATAGGATCCTGTCTGTGTTCCTGAATTTTGTACAAGGGGATATTCTGGGGCCCTAGATAGTATTTCAGGGGGACTAAAGGCTGACTGGCTCTTTGAGGGAGACCCACAACACCGCCTTGTAAAAGGGCCAGCAGGGGAACATAAAGGTGTTGGTGTTGCCGCTCCTCCCCATGAGGAATTCAGCAAAGACTAAACAAAGGCCAGATGGCAAGGAAGGGCTTGTGTGTGGAATAAGAGGTAGATACCAGGCCCCGAATTTCAAGAGCTCACTGTTTCTGCTAAAACCCAAAATGGAGGTAGGAGATAGGGACACGGAGAGAGGGGCTAGCTTCCTGCTTGTTCTTAGGGAAACCTTCAGGCTCTCCTCACAGGACCAACCACCTCCTGGGAGGCTCAGGAGGACAGGCATGGAAAGCCGCCACCCGCAGAGGAGCACTTCAACAGAGCGCAGATCACAGCCTTGATGTCCAAAGGGCCCAGCACGGCACTGAGGGGGAAGGGGCCTGGGTGACGGGGAGGCAGAGGACAGGGGAATGGGAAGGACCCTACCTGCTGGGTGGGTGTGTATTTAACGGTGTGGGAGTAGTCATAATTGTCGATAATGTCCAAATCCCTCACGGCGTCTCCAGGAATGGGGCTGCTGAACTGCACGTTCAGTGGGGCTTTTCCGGCTCCTTTGGTATAGACCGTGAAGTGGGTCGGTTTCCCATTTTCCACACCTGGAAGGATATACCGTGAAGTGAGGAGACAGGCCTAGCTGGAGCAGTTTCACTTCTACAACCAGTCAGACGGGTTCATCAGCACCAGCTCTACCAAGGCAGTCGGTGACAGGGGCTGGTGCTCAGCCACTGCCAACAGCTCCCTGCTGAACGGGGCCCCCACAGACCACCTGCCTTGGACAGAGACAAGTCTCTCAAGGTCCCTGGACCAAACATGTCCATGGCCACTGGCCTGCAGTAGTCCCCCAGGACAGCCTCACCAGCGTGCCATCCTACCTGCTTTGCTGAGCCCAGGGCCTTCCGCCTTCACTTTGCTGGCATCATGGGAAGGGTCAACTTTCACTCTGAAAGGGCTGGCAGGGATTTCCTGTAGGGAAGACACTGTCTCAGTAGGAAAGCCCCTGAAGCATCTGCCAGAGTTTAGCCTTCTAACGACACGAAGGGGGAGACCTCTATGACTCTGGCAGGTGGCAGGCAAACTTCCGTCACCCCACGTCAAGCCTTTGTACTTTAGCCTCAGGTAGAGGCCACTGGGGGTCACTAACAAATGCCTGGACTTCTAACATCGCAGGCTTTGACCTGCTCACTGCACAGCTAAAGGAAAGTCTCCTACAAATGCATCTGAAAATTCTGAGCCTTTAACACCAAAGGTTGAGTACTTAGGATGCAAAAAATCCTACCAAGAATAAAACCCAAAATGACAATAACATGTAGGATTGGGGGGGGGGGGCAGGGGGAAGGATATGTCCTCAGGTACAGCTCAGAGCTGATCAGAAATAGAATGATTATAATTCTTCATAAAGAAAGTTGCAGATTACTGGAATAAAGGAAAAACAGGTTAACTGGATGAAATCAATTCAAGACCAACACTGTCAGGCACAGAACTTTCTCCTGAGACTCCTATCCTTATGTGAGATTAATTTGAATCACCAGGATCCCACTGTTCCCTGTTTTAAGTACCACTCGACTTATCCTCACCTATCACACATAAATATGAACTTAATTTGAAAGGTCAAAGCGCCTGTTACTATAAAAGTTTAAGGGTCAAGGCCAAAGCCATTGCTTCAAAGCGGTCAAAGTAGAACACATCTAGAAGCTCATTGTGTTTCAATCAGAAACTTGATGAGTGTCTCTAACAAACCAGTCTCCTTCCACAGCCCTGCTGTAACCATTGAATACATTCTGCCTCACTTTTGCTAGAGAGTGGTAAAATTTTAGTTCTGAGTGTTTTGTTTTGTTTTGTCTTGTTTTTCCTTCATGGTTTTCGGAAACCAGAAAGGAAAACCGCTGAGCAGAATTCTCAAGACACTCCCCTACTGCTAAAAAAAAAATAAAAAAAAAAAAAAATAAAAAGGAAATATGCACACAGGTGGCCAGAAAGAACCCAGGCCCAAAAACACACCTGAGATGCAAAGAGAACTTTGATAGTGTATCGCCCGGCGGCAGGAGGCACGTATTTGACCGTAAACGTGTCGTTGGCGTTGTGAATAATGTCAAAGTCCACGTCTTCCTCATCCTCACTTAACACCCGAGCATCACATTTAATGCCAACGCTGACATCACCTGGAACAGACCAGCTTATGAGCGCACCAGTGTACAAGAAACAGCACGTCCCATGCAATCGCTTCCAGCTCAGCTCAGCTAACACCCCAAAAAAGCAATTGGGAAGTTTCCAGTAACAAACCTGACAAAGGGATGGTGCTAAGTCAGGGCTTTCCAGAAGGGATGAAGGATTAGCAAAGATCACCAAGGAATTGACACAGACGCTCATTAGGTGAACAATGACCTATTCAGGTGCACTATTTTCTGGCTCAAAGTTCACTGCCCTTCAAACGTTAGGAAAAGAATGTTCCTCCTCAAGGAGCAGCAGTCACCGCGCTGGGGGAAGCCCCATTTTACCTTCCCCAGCCTCAGTACAGTCCACTGTGAAATGAGTAGGCTCATTTGCCTTCAGTCCACTTCGCTCCACGCCTGGCCCAAATACCTTGACCTTCTGGGGATGGCTACCCTGCCCGATATTGACCTGAAGAGAACATAGGAGAAAGTTATAACCAACTTTTCCTCCACCTGGACCCAGTGAAAAATTGTTAGTTAATATTGTTAGAAATAATAGTTTTGGGGGGCAATCTAGAGCACTCTGTCTTTCAAACCACTCCATCTGTCATAGCTGACCAGGGATGGATGGATCTGCCTTGGCCATCAGGCATGGAGCACAGGCTTGCCACAAGACTTAGTTTTTTCATATAACAGCAGGATCATGCTTCACAACCTACCCTGTAGGGACTGTGTGGGATGTTCACACCTCCCCAGACCACAGCAATGGTGTGCTTGATGGCCTTAACTGGGGTGTACGAGCAGGCATATGTCCCATCCATCCGGCTCTTCATCTGGATGTCAATGGGCTGGCCTTCGCCATCCTACAAAAGAACAGGGGCTAAGAAAAGAAACTGGCCCTCACACATTCTTCATCAAACAGGGCCACCACAGCTTCCCAATACAATCAAGTCACCACTCACCCAACAAAACTTCACAGAAGAACTATGCTATTCCCCACTCTCACAATGCATGCCATCATTATAGGTGATAAAATACCGCCTGTATTTACTTGTTTTTAATAAGAGACATACAACCCCAAAAGAAAGCCATGGCCACTCAGTACTTCTTAATTTGGGAGCACCTGGGTAGTTCAGTCAGTTAAGTGTCCAACTCTTGATTTCAGCTCAGGCCATGATCTCAGGGTCTAGAGACCACGCCCTGCATCAGGCTCCAGGCTCAGCAGGAGTCTGCTTGAGATGCTGTCCTTCCTCTGCCCCTCCCCTCACTCAGGCGTGTGCTCATGCATGCACACATACACACACTCTCTCTCTCTAAAATAAATAAATAAATCTTTAAAAAAGTACTTCTTAATTTTAACTCCTGCACTTAAATCATTGGGCCAAATTCAATTAAATTAGATAAACATCTTTAATAGATTCTTATTTACAAACCTCCTGCCAAGCTACCTAGGTAGCTTTGGCCACACTGAAGGATGTGGACAGGGAAATCTGAAATCAACCCTTGTTTCCAAAAAATATAAATCATAAAGATGAGAAAAGCACCCTGCTTTATATATTAGAATTCCATTTAATCCTCACATAACCCCATGAGATAAATATTATTCTCAATATGTGGACGAATGAACTGAGGGTCAGATGAACTGAGCAACTTGTCATTGCAGTGACAGAAATGTGTCCCCTGATCATTAGCTGCACAGATGGCCCCTGGAAACTTACCTGAGCAAATATCTTCAAGGGAGCTTTTCCAGCATCCTTAGGATCCACAGTGAACTCAGCCAGGTTGTTGACAATGCACCCAGATTTCTCCAAACCTGGCCCATATGCTTGAACCTGGGGCAAAGGGCCAATAATGATTCTTTCTGTGCAAGGCCCCAATGAAACCCCAACATAACGACCAGTAACCAGAGAATGAGATGAGAACAAAACCACTTCTTTTGGGGTCTCGCTTTACAGTACCTAACATCATGCTCAAGTAGGTTGTGACTCAAAAATAAAAACAGGATCATTAACCTCCCACGAGGAAGGAAACTCTCAAAAACCAAGCCCCAAACCAACCTGGGGCTCCTTGCCTTATTCTGAGTTGATATAGATAACTTACAATAACCAGGGCAGGGACCTCCAGCCATGTCCTTTCAATATTCCCACTTCAAGGGGGCTCAGAACCTTTACCACACACATTCCAAAAGTTAGCAGCTTCCAGAGAGCAAAGGACAAGCAGTTGGCCAAAGAGGGAAACCAACCAGCCCAGAATGACATCAGCCTATATAAACAGCTGCCCAGGTGGGCCACAGCAGCCCACGTGGGTTGTGGAGGCTTCCTCCTAGCAGGCAGGCTGCCCCAGACTCGATGCTTATCAGCCTCCTAAGAGTGTGACAGAAGCTCTTAGAAACACTGCTCCAATTTAAGAGAAGGGAGCTAGGGAGAAAAAAAATACCTTTCATTTATGAAGAGCAGCTTCTGCAGCCCCCTGCATGGGCCAGGCACTGAGCTAAGGGCTGTCTTTGTGCATGTTAGCTCCCCAAATCATCCCAGATACCCTAGGAAGCAGACCCTATCATTCCCCTTTTATGGAGAAAGAATCAAGAGTCAGAGAGGTATGTGACTTGCCCAGCATTAGAGAAGCTCTACGTGGTACTACCAGGGTTCTAACTCAGACCAAACTCCACATGGCTCCCCGCTGGTCTCCCTCAACACGCTGTTTAAGGTCACTTTCTGGGTACCACAGGGAGGGCCAGGAGCCAGCAAGAGAGCACAGAAATATGACAAACAGACTCACCAGATCTGGGTTGTAGTCTCCCGCAGCTGGGTGGATGAAGGCCATGTATGGGCTCTCCTTGATGTCTTCGTCATCACACATGATGTGAACGGCATATTCGCCGGGCTCCTTGGGCCAGTACTTGACATCACATGACCCATCATTCTGGTCGTCATACTCAATCTTTGCCTGGGAAGGGCCTTCAATGGCAAACCCTGGGGGACAGGGTGAGAGGGACCCCTATTTGCATGGTGGAAAGAACCTATCTTGTGTTACCAGCAGCTCAAACCCTCAAAGCCAAGTATCAGCCAGAAGCTTGAAATCTGTTTGTGTCCCCTTCCCATAAAACCAAGCCTCTTGAGTCTCCACTAGACATGGAAGGGTTGGATCTTATACTATGTTTTTTGGTTTTGTTTTTTTAAACTTCATCTAACAAGGAAGGTCAAGCAAAATCTTAAACCGATGCCCACCCTTTGCCCCATCAAATCCACTTCTGGGCTTTTGTCTGAAGGAAATAATCAAGGATATTCGTAAACAGATACAAAGTACATGGATTCAGCACTGCTTCTACAGGAAAACTGGAAATAACTAGAGAGCCTAACATTAGACATCCATACAATGGAATTCCAAAGAAACCATGGAAAATCAAGACATAGCCTCTATTTATCTGAGGCAGAAAAACAGATTCCCCCTAGATATTTTTTGTGGCAGATGAATGTATTTTTTTTAAAGTCTAGAAGGATATGCCAAAGGTTTAATATCATACCAAAACATTGATTCTAAACACTAAAGGTGATTTCTTCTTTTTCCCAGTTTGCTTATTTTTAGTACCTAAAACAAGTAGTCACCAAACTATGGCCAGTGGGCCAAACTGATCTGCTACCTGTTTTTGTACATAAGGCTTTGCTGGGACACAGCAACACTCCTTTACTTCTGTCCTTTCTATGGCTGCTTTCATACTACAATGGCAGACTCACAACAGTTGCAGCAGGGCAAATATGGCCCACAATACTAAAATATTTGCTCTCTTGTCTTTTCTAGAGCAGGCTTGCTGACCATTGTTCTAAATGAATCCTATATACATCAGATGTGTACTTAAAATATCCTGTTAGGCTCCTAAAACATCTTGTTAGGCTCCAAAGAATATTTATTCTTCAAATTTCTAGTTTCAACAAAATTCATTCATCCATCTAAACTAAGAATTAGGGGCACCTGGGTGCCTCCATGGTTGAGTGTCTGCCTTTGGCTCAGGTCGTGATCCTGGAGTCCTAGGATCGAGTCCTGTATCAGGCTCCCAGTAGGGAGCCTGCTTCTCCCTCCATCTGTGTCTCTGCCTCTCTCTGTATGTCTCTCATGAATAAATAAGTAAAATATTTAAATAAATAAAGAATCAGTCAACAATATTTGCTGAGTGTCTTGTATGTTCTCAGCACTGTTTCAGGCACAACACCCATAGGAAACCTCTGCCCTTGAGGTTTAGCAGATGAATGAATGAAGAGGCAGAGGGGACCTTGAAAGGCATGAGGAAAATGAAAATTGCAATCCCATAGCAGTATTAAGAGTTGGATTTGGGTGGTCAGGAGGCCAGGAGGCTAAGGGTAGTGAGGTTTGGAGGAAGCCCCAATTCTCAGTCTGACCCTGGGACCAAGCCTTGTATAATCTCAGCCCTCCAGAAGCTGTTGGCCAGCTGTTTCCACCTACCCAGAGACCCAACTTCAGAGCCAATGGACTCTACCACGAAGTCTGCTGACCGCCCGACAATCCCACCATGAAGGCCAGGGCCCCATGCACGAACTTTCTGCATGCCTGCTTCAGGGCCAACTTGAACCTCAAAGGGGCTAGGAGAAAAAGAACAAAAAGCATTAAAGAAAAGCAAAGAAGGGGCTAATTATAGCCATAAGCTGTTTACACATATTTTTCCACTCCTTCTACCTGGAGTCCCAATGTTCAGCCAAGCCCTTCCTCCACACAGGTGGCCCCACAGCCATTGTTATGTCAACAATATAATGTACTATGGCTGCCACGGGACACTCAGGTAACCACTGGCACACAAAACACACTAACTCATCCTTTTGATCATTCACCTTTTGAGTGTAGGGCTCACCAGACTGTGAGCTCTGGAAGGTAAGAGAGAGCATTCCTTCCTATATCCTGCTTATATTATATGAACAAGGGGCACCTGGGTGGTACAGTCAGTTGGGCATCTAACTCTTGGTTTCATCTCAGGTTATGATCTCAGGGTCCCAGGATAGAGCCTCACATCAGGCTTTACATTCAGTGTCGAGTCTACTTGAAACTCTCTCTCCATTCCCCTCTGCCCTTCCCACTTGTGCCCTCTCTCTCTAAAATAAATAAATAAAATCTTTAAAAAAACATAAGAAGAAAACTAGGTTGAATAGGCTTTATTTCATATATGAACAAATGTGCTTTAACTTTAGTATAGAAGAATTTTTAAAAATTTGCTTAGAGGGGTCACCTGGCTGGCTCAGTCGGTAAAGCATGTGGCTCTTGATCTTGGGGGCTGTGAATTTGAGGCCCATGCTGGGTGTGCAGATTGTTTAAATAAGTATATTTAAGAAAAAAAAAGTTTGCTTAGATTCTCAGAACCCTATAATGCCCAGATATTTCTCAAGGTAAATGCAATTTATTCAGAATTTAAAGTTGCCCCCAGGAGAGCTGGAAAACATGTGAACAGGGAAGGGTAACTGTGATCCCCACAAGGCAAAGCTGTAGACTGCGTCCCTTGGCTCCTGACTGCGCTCACGTAGAGAATTTTAATGTAAACCATGGCAGATTTTACCCCCATGGCATTCCTGAACAGAGGCACACATTGAAAGAAAGAGAATCCCAGTTTACATAAGGGTGTATAGATACACAGCCCATTTGCTCTCTATTACTGCTCCTTCTGGCTTCCCTGCCTCCCGTCAGCCCCAAACCACCAGCATTTGATTTAAAGCAAGGCAACTGAAACCACAGTGACTTTCTGCTGTTTTTGAGAACAAGCCAAATGTCTGTGCTGCTCTCGAAAAAAAAAAAAAAAGTTTTCAACAAAGTAGATCTCTTTCCCTCCTACAGCCCAGGAAGCAACCACCGTGAGCCTGCCCCAGGCTGAACACGCCTCCAGAGAAGACGCAACTCTTGCTGGAGACTCACCTCTTTGGAATGTGGTGTCCCCCCCACGTGATGGCGATGCTGTATTTCCCTGGGGTGCTGGGGTAATACTCAAATGCATAGACTCCATCCAGAAAGCCTTTCTGTTTCACCAGCTCCTCCAGACCCTCTGTGGGAAGAAAGCACACCATCCTTCCAAAGCAATCCCAAACTGAGAACAAGAATCCAAAGGACAAGAACAGAAAGAGCAATATCCACAAGACATAAGCCACATAGGGAAACAAAGTGGGCTGCCTCAGAGTGTGACACCCTCAAAACCTGAGATTCACCCAAGCCTAAAAATAGACCCATCTCTGCCTCAAAAGTGTGGGGAAATGAAGACTTTCCAGCAAACCGGCTTTAAAAGGCTCTCTGAGCTACTGGGGATGGAGGGGTCCTTGACCTCCTGGGTCTGTGTAAAAACAAATCTAGTCATACCTCAATTTTTCTTAACGATCGCTGTCTTAGCCTCTCACAAAACTGAGGAGGGACTGAACCCTTATGAGTATTTGGCATGCGTTTCAGGTTACTGTCTTGGCACATCTCTTTTAAAGCTGGACAACCAAAGGGAGAAAACTCCTGAGTACTATCTACAAGAAGACAGGTTTTAAATGCTGTACCACAAACTCTAAACTGAGCCATCAGGTAGGAACTTGTTTTATGTTGAGCCCTGAGGTTTGGCTGGGAAAGCCACTTAGTCAAGCGAGAATCCAAAGGTCAGAAAAAACTTCTCCTTGGCTTCTAAAGCAACAAGCCAGCAGTTATGGCAGCCCCAGAGCAGCTTGGCTCTAGGTCAGGGCAGTCTAGAACCTCAGCCACCCTTCAAACCCAGCCCTCCCCATAGCTCAGTGCTCTGGGATCAAATATTGACTCTCTGGAGCTCTGAATACTCCTGCCCCAACCTGTTGAGAATACAGAGGGTGGGAGCAATCCCGGCAGAGGAAGCACACATTCCCACCAAGCCCCGGCAGCCAGAGATGCAGGGCTGCTTCTCTGTGGCAGGGGAGAACACGGACAGAGCAGACGCTCATCCCTGCGTCTGTGGTCTCCTTTCCCAAAAAGGGAAGAAAGAGTCGCAGAGTACAACCCACCCCTCCACAAACAGCTTTTATCTACAAAGAAAACGTAATCTTAGGGAATTTTATTTTCCTTCTATAAGCACTGATCATAGTAATTAGGTACTTGGCATAATTTCATAGTCTATAAAATGTAACCTGTAGTGGGAAAATTACTGGCTTTTGAGACTGCTTGAATTCCAGCTCAGATACTTACAAGCTGTGTGACCTTGGGCAAGACCCTTCCTCTAGAGCCTACGTTTCCTCAAATAAAAAATAAGTCACTTCAGGTTGTCGTTCCAAGGATAGCACTTCCCAAACTCCATTACATCAGTGCTTCTTCTATTCCCAGAAGCCTTAATACAGGAGGCTGTCAAACCACCACTGTTCCCATTGCACCCAGGGTAGACGTTAACTAATTGATCACGGCCTCTTTCCTCATGGGGCCCAGACAGCCTCCACTCTTTGACACAGCTCTCTGGGATCCATCAAAACTGGCTATGGGATGAAATCCATATGCCATGGATGCAAAGCCAGCTGAAGTCACCCCTGAGATGAGGAAACAAAGGAGCACTTACTAGGACCCTTCACAGTGACACCGAGCTCCCCGCTTCCAGCAGCTTTGGTATCAACCTTGAAGTCTGCAGTCTCCCGGATGCGGACGCCTTTGGGCTGCAGGCCCCGGCCACTGGCCCGGCAGGCATTTGGACTACAGGCTGCAAACACAGTTTTGACATCAATTCAACCTTTCATTCGTTAGAGTCAAGCAAGCCAAGGTAACTGGGAGCCACCTGCCAAGAAAATGTTTGCTCTGCACAGAGGGTTTGCAGCACTTGCCCAAGGCCAGGGGTCCTACTCAGGGAGCACACCAGGCTAGCAAATAAGGATACAACATAACTTTGTCCAGCCACACCACAGAGGGCCTGGGGTGGGGGGTGGGGGGGTGGGGGAGTTACTTTGGCAAAGAAAGAAGGAGAAGCACAGCCTGCATTTGCTGTGCTCCTGGAACCCGCTGAACCCTGGCATTTATCCTCTCAGTGGTAAAGGAGAGTTAAGTCTCATTGCCACACTCAAGGGCCCAGTAATTGAGAAGACGGAACTTTCTCAAGTCTACTTGGAAAACATAGCACTTGAAAATATCTGACTGTGTTCCAAACTCTGGATTGGCCATCTCTAAAAGTCGAAATGTGATCGTCTTCCGCATGAAAACCAGAGGACAGTTCAGAAAGAAAGCAGCTCAACCCCACCTTGGCCAAGGCAGACAAACATTTTAGTGCTGTCACCAGGTAATCAGAATGTGGGTGGCTATCAATGCAACAATTAGCAATAAACACCCCTCTCCATTTGATTTCTGGATCCAGTTTAAAAACCTAAAGTCAGAAGACTAAAAATTAAATACAAGTAGCTTCTAGTAATTTCTTACATGAGAAGTCCACAAAACTACCGTTCTATAAGGGTCATCAGAAGGTTGATAAACACGCATTCTCATACCCTAGGAATTCTTTGCCAACACAGGCAACCCTTTCTAAGTACAGAAATGAGAGAGCAATGGGTAAAATATCATGTCGTTTATTAAGTAGCTTTTCCTTTCCAAATCTAACATTGCACATTTAACAGGTCTCCGTGTGCCGGAGTGAGATCACAGACTCCAGAGGATAAAACTCTTTACTCCATAGAAAGAAAATAATGCCTCCTCTGGTCCCTCCTCACGGCAATGTCCTCAGCTGGCTATTTGGCAAACAACTGCTTCAGAAGAGAGAGACCCACACTCGAGGAGTTAATTTTAGGTGGTTCATGGCCACATTTTATCACAAGTGACATTGGTTTTCCACTGTTAAAGTGAAATGAAGATTCTTTTTAATATAAAATCAGTTAAGTAGTGGAGGAATTAGTACGTCAAAAGAAAAACTCTATCAAATACATACTAAATAGTATAAGTGATGGATACACAAGAGATGAAAAGCATAGTTCATGAGTGAGAGGAAGTCAGAGGACAGTTTTAGAACAGGAAAGCTGTTAGAAATTCTTTCTTGCATTATGTCAAAGAGAGTTTTGTTTATGAATATGTTGGTTTTATTTTCTTTTCTTTGTCAAAAGGAGAAAAGTTGGTCATACCAGAAATAAGTCACAACAGGATGACAGGACTTCCCTCAGAGGGTTTTAATGTGCCTTAAAAAAAAAAAAAAAAAAAAACAACCAAACACTCATGGAAATTCTGAACATGGGTAATAGTCCAACATTAAAAGGGCAACTGCTCAGTTCATATAAACACTAAATGGAACTAAAGAGTTTGAAGGAAACCACCAGATTCTCCACCATTTTGAAATGTTTTAGACATGTATCCACATAAGTGGAGAGTGGGTTTGGGGCCTAGTGGGACAAGTAATAGTGAAACCCCTACTGTCATGTCCTGAGGTCACAAACAGCATAGGCTCAGCTGACCTGTGTGTGGGCAGCAAGGAGAACTGGCACAAGTTCCATTCAACCAACCCTTACCCAGTGAGATGCCTTTGGCCCACTGCTCTCAGTTAGGAAGCCAACAGTTTCGGGGTCCAGGCTGACCCAGAGGCAGGATTCAGAAGAGGAAGCTCAGGTCTACAGATGCAGATGCAGAGGATAGAACAGGGAAAAGCAAGTATTGGTTAGAAAAGGCAGCAGAGTTGGAGAACAAAACAAAAAGAACCACAAAGTCAGAAGGAAAAGGAGTCTAACATTAGAGGAAAATGCAAGCTCTGGCTGCAGGAGGGGTTTAGCAGCATGGTTAACAGGTGGACAGAGACCTGGGTTCTCCTTCTACTGATGACTAGTCTGTGTTCACCGATAAACTATGTTGTCTAAGCCTTGGTGTCTCCACCGGTAAACTAGGGATAACGCCAGCACCTGGAACATGCTGGCCAGAATGATGATTGGCTGCATTCATGCTGAAGTGCGCATGTCAGCCAGTAAAGGCCAAGCAGTGAAGGCCACGGCAGTACTATAGCTGCTAACCTCGGCCTCGGACATCAACGGTGTGAACAGTCTCCATCCGGCATCCCTCAGTGAGTACAATGACTCTGCCGTATGAGTGTTCCAGGAAAGATGAAATGAGTTCATACAAGTGAAGCACTGAGGTCATTGCACATCTTACAGGAAGACAGTAGTCCTCTCGAGGACAAAGCAAGCTGCTTCCCACCAAAGGGACCCTGGCAGAAAGGGAACGGGAGTGGGTCCAGCATGGTCCCCACTACTCTCCTGGCTGGTGTGCACCATCAGCCTCAATGTCAGAGGCAGATCTAGTTGGCCACCCCAGCACTCACCTTCCCCAACCTGCACAACGAAGGGACTCTTGGGAATGGTGTCCCCAGCAAAGGAGACCTTCACCACGTGAGGTCCAGGCTGCAGTGGTTTGTACACACATCGGTACACCTGGTTTCCTTTGTCTTCCACCAGCAATTCCACCGTGTTCTTCCCCTGGGGGTCCTCTACCTCAACACCAATGTCACCCACACCAGCACCTAGAAGACAACAAGCACTCAATGAGCCCAGGTCACCTTCTCAGAACACTTACTGCGGATGAGTGCAGGTGCAAATGCAGATGGAAGAAGACAGGCACTCAGCAAGTCCATACCAAGATGCTAAAACCGTTTTCTGTTTGGGGGAGGAGGGTCATAAACTTTTCTTTTTCTCCCATTCTCTATTTTTAAAATTTTCTACATGGAATAGAAAGGTGATATTTCAAGAATTGTATCATAAAAAACATTTTTTTTTAAAATTGAGCCTTATCATTCCTCCCCGACCCCTGGACCTGGCATAGAATTTGGTCTAGTAGATGATTCTTAAAACTTAGTTTCTTTGGAACAATTTTTAACCAAGGTAGAAATGTGTACAGAAATGGATTATTTACAATTGAAGCCAAGCTTCAATTATAAATAATTGAAGATTATTTGAGTGTAAGATCTTAAAGAAAAGCTAGTTTTGAAAAATCTGTAAATATAACCAACACACTTGAAAAAGGGTGTTGGTGGTGGTTTGACATAAAAGACAAAACGTCAGGCATACCAAGCCTTGGGTCTCCTGAGGATTATCTCAGGCTCTGGAAGAAAGCCTGATCCACAATACCTGCTGTGTAGATGTCAAAGTACGTGGGTTTATTGGCGATGTTCCCAGAAGCTTCCAAGCCTGGGCCTTTTGCAGTGACTTTACTGGCATCTCCCTGTGCCTTGTCGACATTCACTTCAAATGGGCTCTTGGAGATGTGCTGTCCTGCAAAGAGGACTGTAACCTACGAGTGACAAACAGTTGTGATATAATCACTTCTCCCTGACCAGTGAGACCTTTTATTGAGCCATATGCAATGACAATCTTCTCTTCCATTCTCCTAACTATACACACAAAGGTGGCTGGAACCAGAAGCCCTGGTTAAGTGCCTGAGTGGGACCCCTCCTGGCTCCATCCAACACTGGGCCTGGGACATCATGCCTTTAGTGAACTAAAAATGCTTTAGATCAGATACAGGTAGCGTCTATAACAGGATGCACACCAGTGCTTCTACTTGAATCTGTAGAAGGGGCCACCGTACCCCCAGAAAATAAGGCACAGTTCCAGGATTTCAAACCTAGAGTCAAAATGTTTTTCAAAGGACCAAGATCATTCTCACATACATGAATTTGAGATACAGTATTGATTTTCATCTAAAATTTGAGTAGGTTCTCATCTTTTAAATTTTAAGGAATATAGAGCTGGATTTTCTATGAATTGAATAAATTAATTCCATCATAAATGCTTCCTTCAAGATTTTTTTCCCCAAATTCAGGATGTCCTAACGGTATAAGAAAAATCAATAGCCATGATTCCAGGTGAATTCACTAAAGGTCAAGGTAGTAAATAAGGTCTATGTCTCGAAATATTGGCATGGTACACAGGGACTGACCTGTACATGCTGTTGAAGGCCCTATTTTAAGGAAAAACACACTTTTTCTGGATCTTTCAGACTCCTCGGGCCCCTATCATATAGGCCAACTAGACACCCATTCAAACAGAATTCAAAATGATGTTGAGACAAAGGGCCTGGGGGGACTAGACCCCCATCATTTCTACAGGTGCATGACTGGGTCACTGTCCTCAACTATATCAACTGGCCCCCTCCACACTCATGCTTCAATACAGACAGACCCTCCAGAGCACCCCAAGGGGGAATACTTAAGGAAGCATGGAAGACAAAGAACCCATAGCTTAGCATCTATACTCCAGGCATGTAGCTACAATCATTTGTTACCCAAGTGGAGTTAAAAACAATCTTAAATTGCAAAGAACTTAGTAGAATTCAGGCTTCCTAAGATACCCTCTTACACACATATCAAAGCAAGCCCAGAAGAGCAGTTCAAGCAACAGCCATGACACTTCATCTTACTTTGTGCAACCCGGTGACCTTGGGCAGATACTCCACAGAGTATGTCTTGTTCTTGTCGCTGTCAGGGGTCACTTGTGCCTAGGACAGAAAATGAGCAATATTAGAGAAGGTGCTGGGTTTGAGTAAAAGCATGCCATGCCAGCCAAGGCTCTGCAGCAAGCTGCCAGGTCAGGAACCTGTCCTGGCTATTTCCTGCCCCACCACTCCTGAAGGATGCCCAAGAAAAGAAGCAGCCTAAAGTCAGAGAAACAAAGTCATATAGCACAAATGTATAACCAAGTCATAACTCCACCTTCCCAGGGCTGGAACTCGGTAGATGAGAGGGACCACAAAGCCAGTAATTTAAAACTTTATTGGCTCAGTAATTATTAAGAGTTTATGAAATGCCAGGCCCAGTGTCAGGTGCCAAAAATAAAACAAGTCAGGCACAATCCTTGCCCCGGTGGGAGAAACAGACAATATGCCAGTAAACTTAGAATTTCAGATGGTGCTAATACTAGAAATAAAACAGAGTCTTAATATAAGTAGAAGGAACAACATGGACAAAGGTCCTGAGGGAGGAACCAAGAATGGCCCGCCTGGGAAGAGAGGAAAGCTTCAGTACTGTTGCTGTATTCTATCAGTATTGTCATTGTTATTCTGACCATCAGCATCTACAATGTCAAATCACAAGGCCCTTGCTAAATAAAGCATTCCTTATTTTTTTTTAAGTATTCCTTATTTTATTAAACATTGTGTCCTTGGGTATCAATTTCTATTACATTTCAAGGCACAGCCCTTGGGCAATTACTTTGACTGCTCTAAGCATCAGGATCCTTTTGGAGGATTGTGAGATTTACTGATTTTTTTTTAAATTTTAAAGGTTTTATTTATTTATTCATGAGAGACACAGAGAAGCAGAGTCATAGGCAGAGGTAGAAGCAGGCTCCTGGAGGGGGACCCCAATGCGGGAGTTGATCCCAGGAACCTGAGATCATGAACTAAGCCACCAAAGGCAGACGCTCAACCACTAAGCCACCCAGGTGCCCCTTGTTGTGAGCTTTAATGAGGAAAATGGAAACATAGTCCTTAGCCCTGTCACAAGCCCCCAAAACTCTTCCAACCTACCTCCTCTTTGTTCCCTTCTGGGTCCTCAACAAACACCATCACGTCTCCTTGCCCGGCACTGATGGTGTCCACAGTGAACTTGGCCGGCTGCTTCACCATGTTTCCAGTAGGCTCGATTCCTGCCAGGTTTACACAAGCACATTACAAAAGGCAGGGCCTTGACACAAGCCATCACCCACCATTTTCCTTTAGGGAACTGAGAGATGGGACTCAGCCCTGCAGCTACCATGTGGGAGACAGGGATGCCTGTGACAAAGATTATCAAACAGGTCAAAACCCCTGAATTTGTCCTTGTTTATTTTATATTATATTTTATTATTTTATATTTTATATTCTATTCTATTTTTTTTAAGCAGGCTCCATAGCCAGGGTGGAGCTCAATACGAGTCTCCAATTCACAAGACCTGAGCTGAGATCAAGAGTCAGATGCTTAACGGACTGAGCCACCCAAGTACTTCTGTCCTTGTTATTTAAGCGATATCGGATTCTGAAATATTCAGAGCAGATCAGTGAGAAGTCTATACAACTATGGAAAATGATTTAGTAAGTACCAGTGGGATTTGCCCTGAGAGAGAGGACATGGGAGGAGGAGGAATGAGGTGTGGGAAACAGCTCATTTTTCATTAAAGGCCATTTTGTATTACTTGAAATGTTTAAAAATGGCATTTGATCAATACTTTTAAAATAAACTATTTACTTTGAGATGACTGAGCAAATTAATTTGAGATAGTCACATGCAGGTAAAAGAAATAATACCCTTTATCCAGGTCCCCAAATGGTTACATTGTACAAAACCCTAGTAGAGTATCACAAGGATCCTGGGCTTGACACAGTCAAGATCCAGGACATTTCCATCCCCATGGGAATCACTCCTGCTGCCCTCTTATAACCATATACACTCCCTCCCCGCCCCACCCTCCTCTTACCCCAACAACCCCTAATCTGTTCTCTATCTCTGTAATTTTATCATTTCTAGAATGTTCTATAAATGAAATCACACATTATGCAATCTTTTGAGGTTGCATGGCTAAGCATGATCCAACCAGGTTGATGACTTTATCAATACTTGTTCTTTTATTGCATATTCCAGGATATGAATGTATTACCACGTGTTTAACCATTCACCCACTGAAGGACATCTGGATGGTTTCCAGTTGTCTATTACTGATAAAGCTGCTACGAACATTAGTGACAGGGTAATGTATGAACGTAAGATTTCATTCCTCTGGGATAAATGCCAAGGAGTGCAATTGCTGGGTTGTATGGTAGCTGCACATTTAGTTCTTTTTAAGAAACTGTCCAACTGTATTCTAGAGTAGCTGTACCATTTTACATCCCCACCAGCAATGGATGAGTGATCTGGATCTGCTTTCTCTGCATCTTTGCCAGCATCTGGCATTACCACTATTTTCTATTTTAGCCATTCTGATAGATATGTAGTGATTTTAATTTGCATTTCTCATATGGCCAAAGATACTGAATATCTTTTCATGTGCTTCTTTGCCATTTATATACCCTCTTCAGTGAAATGTCTGTTCACATCTATTGTCTATTTTTTTTTAAGATTTATTTATTTATGATAGACACAGAGAAAGGGAGAGAGAGAGAGGCAGAGACACAGGCAGAGGGAGAAGCAGGCTCCATGCCGGAAGCCTGACGTGGGACTCGATTCCGGGACCCCAGGATCACGCCCTGGGCCAAAGGCAGGCGCCAAACTGCTGAGCTACTGCCTATTTTCTAATTGGATATTTTTTACCTACTGAGTTTTGAGTGTTCCTTATATATTCTAGATACTAGTTCTTTGTTGGATATGTGGCTCTCAAATATTTTCTCCCAGTCTTAAGCTTGTCTTTTCATCTTAACTGAGAAAAGTTTTAAATTGCTTTAAAACATTCTTAAGAGGGATCCCTGGGTGGCGCAGCGGTTTGGCGCCTGCCTTTGGCCCAGGGCGCGATCCTGGAGACCCGGGATCGAATCCCACGTCGGGCTCCCGGTGCATGGAGCCTGCTTCCCCCTCTGCCTGTGTCTCTGCCTCTCTCTCTCTATCATAAATAAATAAAAAATTTTAAATAAAAAAAAAAAAACATTCTTAAGAGTAAAATCCAACCATTGTCTCAGCAGCATTTTGAGTTCTGTTTGAGATGGTATCCAGGTGGCTTACAGGGTGGAGGTTAAGGGCACTTGTCTTGCAGGAGAGCAGGGTGATCCAGGAGTATGCCTTCACTGTGAGAAAGCCCTCAACAGCACAGTCCAATCCTTGTGTGCCATGCCAAGGCACAGACCACGTTTCGTGAAATTTTTTATGTTCTTAATTTTGGTGAAGTCCAACTTATTATATTTTTCCTTTCACAGGTCATGCTTTTGGGGTCAAATCTAACAACTCCTAGCCTCATCCTAGATCCCAAAGATTCTCTTCTATGTTGCTGTTGATTATCTGGAAGTTTCATAGTTAGATAAGGTTCACTTTGAGTTAGTTTTTCTATAAGGTGTGAAACTCAGGCTGAGGTTCTTTTTTTCTTGGCCTGTGGATGCCCAATTGCTCTGGAACCATGTGTAGAAAAGGCTCTTTCCCCCATTGAATTGCTTTTGTACCTATGTCAATAATCAGTTTGCATATTTATGTAAATCTCTTTCTGGGATCTGGATTCTGTTCCATTGATCCATGTGTCTTTCCTTCCACCAATATCACATGGTGGTATATTCATTTCTATACCTTCATAAGTCCTGAAATCAAGTACATTGACTCATCCCACATTTTTCTTCCTTTTCACAATCACTTCCCTACTATAGTTCCTTTGCTTTGCCATATACACTTTAAATAATAATCTTTTCTGTATCTATAAAGAATCTTGCTGGGATTTTGATAGAAATTGTTTTAAACCTATATGACAATTTGGGGAGAACTGACATTTTTACTCTTTGACTTTTTCAATTCATAAAAACAGTATGTCTCTCCATTTATGTAGATCTTTGATTTCTTCATTAGTGTGTTTTTTTTGTAGTTTCCAGCATAAAAATCTTAACACATTTTATTACATTTACATCTATTTCTCAAATTTTTGAGTGACTATAAATGGTATGATATTTAAACAGTATGATTTCTTTTTTATTTTAATGTCCTTATGTCCATTGTATGAAACCTAGATGACACACATTTTAACATAAGTACAACTGATTTTTGCATGTTGATCTTATATCCTGAGACCTTGTTGAATTCACTTATTCAAGAAGAGTTTTGGGCTTTTTTGTTTTCTTTTGTTGCAGATTTTCAGGAATTCCTACACAGACAATCAAGTCATCTGCAAAGAGGGACAGATTTATTTCTTACTTTTCAGTATGTGTATCTTTTATTTTCTTCTCTTGCCTGACCATACTTGCTAAAACTTGCATCGTGATGTTGAATGAAATGGTAGTGAGAGTGGATATCCTTGTCTTATTCCCAATCTTTGGGGGCACATCTAGTCTTTCACCATTATGTTAGGTAGGGAATCCCTGGGTAGCTCAGCGGTTTAGCACTTGCCTTCGGCCCAGGACGTGATCCTGAAGTCTGGGGATCGAGTCCCACATCAGGCTCCCTGCATGGAGCCTGCTTCTCCCTGTCTGTGTCTCTGCCTCTCTCTCTCTCTATCATGAATAAATAAATAAAATATTTTTAAGAAATAATTATGTTAGGTAAACTTGTTGTGGATGGTACCCTTTATCAAACTGAAGAAGTTCTCCTCTAGTCCCCTTTTTCTGAGTTCTTAATATGGATGAATTTTGTCAAATGCCTTTTCTGTATCAATGGATGTGATCGTGTGATTTTCCTTCTTTAGCCTGTTAAGGCAGTAGATTGTTTTCACCAATGTTTTAAAATATTTTATTTATTTATTTTTTTTGTTTTGTTTTTAATTTATTTATTCATGATAGTCACACAGAGAGAGAGAGAGGCAGAGACACAGGCAGAGGGAGAAGCAGGCTCCATGCACCAGGAGCCCGATGTGGGATTCGATCCCGGGTCTCCAGGATCACGCCCTGGGCCAAAGGCAGGCACCAAACTGCTGCGCCACCCAGGGATCCCTTTTTTTGTTTGTTTGGTTTTTGGTTTTTGATTTTATTTATTTATTTGACAGAGAGAGAGAGAACAAGAAGGGGGAGCTGCAGAGGGAAGAAAAGCAGGCTTCCCACTGAGCAAAGTCTGGTGCAGGGCTTGATCCTAGGACCCTGGGAGCATGACCTGAGCCAAGGGCAGATGCTTAACCAACTGAGCCACCCAGGCACCCCTTAAAGATTTTATTTTAAAATAATCTCTACACCCAACATGGGGCTCAAACTTACAACCCTGAGATCAAGAGTAGCATGCTCTAATGACTGAGCCAGCCAGGTGCCCCTATTCTTTCATATCTATATTCACGAGGGATATTGATCTTTAGCTTTCTTTTTTGGTATTATCTTTGTCTGATTTTGTTATTAGAGCAACAATAGCTTCATAAAATGAACTGGAAAAAATTTAAAGAATAAAATAAAATGAATTGGAAATTCATGAATTGGAAAGTGTTCCTTCTTCATATTTTCTGGAAGAGACTGTGTAGAATTGGTAATAATTCTTCTCTAAATATTTGGTAAAATTCTCCAGTAAAACCATCTGGGCCTGGAGATTTCTTTTCCAAGAGCTTTAAGTTATAACTGATTTCTTTAATGGTTACAGGGCCACTTGGTTTATCTATTTCATCTTGGTTGAGTTTTGTGTTTTTTGTGAAAAGTCTATTGTTACATACACACAGACACACACACACACACACACACACACATATATTTTTATACCATGTTCTTTCTCCCTATAATTGAAAGATTCCTTTCTTTGTTCCCCTTCTGTCTAGAGAATTTCTTTTAGTCATCCTTTTAGGGTAAATGTGGCCACAAATTCTTTTAGTTTTTTCATCCAAGAATGTCTTTTTTCTTCATTCCTAAAGGGAGTATACTATCCCTGGATACAAGAATCTGAGATGACAATTCTTTTCTTTCAGCACTCAAAAAAGTGCCACGTCTGCCTCCATGGTTTTTGAAGAGAAATCTGCCATCCTATTTCTTCCTTATGGGTAAGGTATCATTTCTCACTTGATGCTCTCTCTCTCTCTCTCTCTCTCACTCTCTCTCATTTCTGCTCTCTCTCTCTAATAAACAAAATCTTTTTAATACAAAGTTTATGATGGAGAATTACAAATTTATACAGACACAGAGAGCTGTCTACTGAATCCCTAGATACCTATTACCTCAATGCAACAACTCACAGCCAGTTTTGTTTTACATCTTCACTCCTACCTCTCCCTTCCTCCTATATTACTTTGATATAAATCCTAGACCTCACAGAGGGGCAGGGGAAAAGGGAGAGAATCTCAAACAGATTCCCTGCTGAGCATGGAGCCTGACCTAGGGCTTGATCTCATGACCCTGAGAACATGACCTGAGCCATAACCAAGAGTTGGTCGGTCAACCAACTGAGCCACGCAGGTACTCCTGGACCTCATATCTTTAATCCACAAACATTCACTATGTATCTTTAAGAGATATTTCTAGAATATCCACATCAAAAAAATATTCAGTGTTCAAATTTCCAACTATCTCATGAGCATCATAATTTTTAAGTCAGTTTAATAGGATCCAATAAGGTTCCCATATTACAACTGGTTACTAAGTCTTGTAAGTCTCAATTTCTAGATTTTTATCTTGTTTTTCCCTTGCCATTAGACTGCTGAAGACACTGGGTCACTTGTTACTATACTCTGTATTTGTATTTGTTTTCTAATAAATAATTTAACATTAGAAGAATTGGTGGTAGATTGCTATATAATAAGATAACATTCACACATTGCCAAGTAAGAATTGCAAATTGAAGAAACTACATAGCTGGGAACTCATGTCAGTACAGAAAAAAAGCTGGCAAAAAGTACCTTGGACTTTGAAAGAGGGAATGGGATTGGCAGTTGGAAAACAGGGTTTTCAATTTTTATGTATCATATTTTCCTTCTGCTTAAAATTTATGCAATGATCAGGTCATGTAACAAATAGATTTAAACATGCACTTAAAATATTCACAAACACCCACTCCACCTGACTCCAACAGCCTGAGAAATAATTGACTCTGCAGCTTATCCAGGGTTGGGCTGGGCTTGTCCACCTGGGCTCACCATGGTTGGTTGGGCTGGGCTTGTCCACCTGGGCTCACCATGGTTGGTTGGGAGAGAGAGAGACCAGAGCCCACTCTGTGAAGTCCTATTCCTCACAACTCCTCACAATGAAGGGTGCTTACGGCTTGCTCTCCAGTGAATGCTTCACACAGAACATAGGTTTTAGGAAAGGTTTCTGCTTAGCTCATGGATGCATGCTTTCAACATACCCAGCCCTGCAAGCAAGCCCACCACAAAGATCTACTTGCAGCTGTGAGTTTACCTCACTCCAGCCCTCTATCCTTTCAGTGAATGGGTCTCAGTGAGTGGATCTGCAAGTGCCACCCAGCTGCTAACTGAATTCTGGCCAACGTCCAAAAGATAAAATTAAAGAAACCTCTCAACCCTTGTAAAACTAGAGGATGAGATGTTCTCTATCCTTTGGTTCAGCTGGCAAAAATGAAGCAATGTGGCCACAAAAGAGAGAGAGAGAAAACTGCCCCTGCCCTTGGGTTCATCACAGGACAAAGATAGTATCTTAAGAGGCCCTTACCCATGTGGCCTCACGTGTGGCCCTGTTGCCTAAAATGACACTTGGTCCTCCTACTTAAAAAGAAAAAAGAGGTGCCTGGATGGTTCAGGTGGTTAAGCATCCAACTCTTGATTTTGGCTTAGGTGATGATCTTAGGGTCGTGAGATCAGGCCCCACATCAGGTTCTAAGCTGGACATGGAGCCTGCTTAAGATTCTCTCTCTCCCTCTGCCGCTCCCCTTCTTCCCCCACACTATTCCCCCTCACCTCACTGTCTCCAAGAGAGAGAGAGAGAGAGAGAGAGAGAGAGAGAGAAACAGATACAGAATTACTGTATGACCCAGCAATTTCACTTCTAGCAAAAACAGAAACTCAGATACTTGCATACTCTTATGTTCACAGCAGCATTATTCACAGGAGCTAAAAGGTGGAAGCAATTCAAATACCCATTGATGGGAAGAATGGATGAGCAAAATGTAGTATATATATATAGGGTGAAGTATTATTCAGCTTTAAAAAGGAACAAAATTCTGACACATGCCAGAATATGGATGAATGCTGAAAACATTATACTCAGTGAAGCTGGTCAGACACAGAAGTACAAATATTGTATGATTCCACTTACATGAGGTACCTAGAATAAGCAAATTCATAGAGAGAGAAAATAGAAAGGTGGCTGCCAAGGGCTGGGGGTCGGGAGGGGAGCTATAGTTTAATGGGATTATAGTTTCAGTTTGGGAAGATAAAAATGTTCTGGAGATGGACGGTGGTGATGGCTGTATGCCATGTGAATGTACTTAATACCACTAAATGGTCCATTTTAAAATGGTTAAAATAGGGAATGTTGTGTTATGCATATTTTACCACAACAAAAAAAATGTATCTATGTGCACATACATATAACATGTATATATATTTTTTAAGGTGTGTTTTCTCCACAAGGACACAACACTTAATAAAAAGCAGATGAGGGACACCTAGCTGGCTCAATCAGCAGGATATGTGACTCTTGATCTTGGGGTTTTTGGTTCAGGCCCCATTTTGGGGTGTAGAGATTACTTAAAAATAAAATCTTAAAAAAAAAAAAAGCAGATGAAGGAAATGGCAATGACTAGCCACATTCCTGACCGTAGCAAATAGTCACTTTCTAGAAAACAGCAGCGTGAAAGGAAACTATTTCACATTAACAATGGGGAAGCTGGACAGCCAGTGATAAGGTGGCTGCAAACAAGCATTTTATGCTTTGATTAGATTGAATCCACTTGACCAATTTTGTCAACCAGAGACTTATTTGGCTGTTTGCAGCTTTTTTGCCATTTAAGGAAGCATAACCTTGAAACACCAAAGATTCCTTATTCTAGCCATCATTGCTTAAAAATTGGTTTATAGTGCAGAGAAGGCACCTTCAAAGCAAGCATGGACATGCCAACTTATGAGTGAGTGCACATCCGGAGAGGGCTTGAAACAAAGTCCCCAGTCCCTATACATACAAATGATTGCATGGACCCAACCTCGATGCCAAAAGGAACCTCAAATGGCAAGTGGCTTTGTTCCAGATCTATTAGGCCCTCTCTGCTGTTCTAAATCATGCTAAAAAGACAGATGAGAAGAACGTGACTACTAAGATTGAGAACCACACCCAACACCACTGCTCTAGTTCTGTGTCATCCTTAAGACTAAGCTAACACCATGTAGGGAAGCGCTACCTTCAAAGGGAATGAGTGTATAGGATATCCTGTTACAAGTGTTCTGAACTCTTCAGAAAGTCAATATTATTTTTAAAAAATGGAGGGGGGGTGTCACCTGGGTAGTGCAGGTGGTTAAGCATCCGACTCTCAGTTTCGGCTCAGGTCATAATCTCAGGGTCACGGGATTGGGCCCCATGTCGGGTTCTATGCTCAATGTGGAGTCTGCTTCAGACTCTCTCTTATCCTCTCCTTCCGCCCCTCCCCACACCTCCTCTAAAAATAAATAAATAAATCTTTAAGGAAAAAAAATTTTTTTCACAGAAATTATTCTAGATGAAAAGAGTCTAAAGAAACACCAAATACCATAAGTGAATCTTTTTTTTTTTTTTAAGATTTTATTTATTTAAGAGACAGAGTGAAAGGGAGAGAGAATATGACGCAGACTCGGCACTGAACACAGTCCAGTGTGGGGCTCAATCCCACAACTTCAAGATCATGACCTGGGCTGAAACCAAGAATCAGATGCTTAACCAATTGAGCTACCCAGGTGCCCCTGTAGTAAGGCAATCTTGGTCAGATCTTGGTTTATAAAACAACAAAAATTATAAAAGATAATTTTAGGAGAATAGGAAAATTTTCTTTTTTTTTATAGAATAGGGAAATTTTCATGTAAACTGAATATTAGCTGATATGATATTGTTAATCTTTTTATGTGTGATCATGAATATTTTTGTTATATAAGAGAGTGATGCCGTTTTCAGGAGAGGCTTACTGATGTATTGAGTGAACTGTCACAATGCCTACAGTTGATTTTCAAAGAATTCAACAACCTCACACACATATACACATAATACATAAGAAGGGCTAGAGAAAACTATTATGTTAGAATGGTTAGAACTGTAGATTCCAACAGAGGATATATAAGATATTTTGTGTCTAAATGTTATCCCAACTGTAATTATAAAAATTAAGAAATATAATGCACTTTCCCTTCTTCATAAAAAAGGGAATAAATTGTATCTCACTGTCCTCATCTTTACCAGAAACCACACTGGGCTGAAATGCAATTGTTCTTAAAAAGCTGGTGTGCTTGAAGTTAGGTGCCAATCATAACATCAAATGCCTCAAAATGCCTTCAACCCACCATAACATTCTGAGCAGAACACTGTCCTGCAGCTGCCTTGGTGATCATAAACAGGATGTCTCAGTGAGGAAGTATCTAGGGGGTCACAATAGCTCCCTCCCCATCTGGAAATCTGAAGCAGTATGAGCAGGACCAAAGGAGAAATGAATCACCAGCCAGATGACCCAGGCTCCTGTTCTACCCCCATCGCTGACTGGTGATTTGGGGTGGACACCCCCACCTCTAGTGAATCAGGCGTCTGATTCCTCATCTGAAAAATGGGAACAATAGTCTTCTCTTCATCCCAGGGTTACTGCACTAAAATCACAATGCAACAAACTCATCGTTCTCCATCACATTAAAGCAGCAGCATCTCCTACAGCCTAGATTCATGGAGCAGAAATGTTGGTCACAAACAAATGGACCTTTAGGTAAAAACATCTGACAAAGGAGGCCTGGAGTGCCTGAAAGGATCAAGCCTATAATTCTTGATGCTAAGAACCTTTTTCTTGGAGCCACATAATCATGTCTAAGAACTGAGAACAAGCCTGAAACACAGCAAGACCAGTGCTTACCTCGGCCATAGGCCCTGGCTTTCTTTGGGTTGAGTTTGGGTTTGAGAGGAGCCCCTGGCTTGAGCTTGGCTTTGGGGAACTGGGACAGGTAAGTCATCACCGAGTGCTCGTCCACATCTGGATGAATAATTTCTTCAGGAGTGATGACCTAGAATAACAGCATGGTAGGTGAATATCCAGAACATATCACTTGTAATTGCTAAAGATTTCCAAATGTCTCTTAAGCCAAACACTACAAATTAAAGAAATTGAGCCAAACTCATTACATTAAATTAAAATAACATGTCAACATCAGTGTTTTTATCTTTTAGAGGTGTCACTCTTCTTTTTGCAAGTTGAGGACCACCCCCCCTCAGACAATTCTATATGTGATTTCCAGAGGTACATATCCACTCTTGAAAAAAAAGCCCACCTACCACCCCACCCGCCCACCCCCGCCAAGGGAAACTTTCCAGAAGGGGTATGCTACATCAACTGAGGAGGAAGAAGAAATAAGTATACATGGGATTGGAGCATATTACCAAGAAGCATATAAACTGCCTGCATCTCTATTAACTCTGCTACTAATAAAAAATAGTAATAAAAACAAAGAGACAACACAGCGACTTATTAGATATGTGGTCTTAATACAGCATGAATGTTTGTATCCTCCCAAAATTCATATGCTAAAGCCTAAGAGCCAGTGCGATGGTGTTAGCAGGTGCGGACTTTGAGAGGTAAGTAGGTTGAGATGAGGGTATGAGGATAATTAGTGCCCTCATAAGACGGGGAGGAAAGACCAGACTTCTCTGTCTTTGCCACGTGAGGACACAGCAAGAAGCCAGTTGTCTGTGAGTCACAGAGAGGGCCCCCACCAAGCACTGAATCCACTGACACCTTGTTCTTTGACTTCCAACTTCTAGATATAAGAAATAACTTCAGGGGGGCAGCCCGGGTGGCTCAGCGGTTTAGTGCCGCCTTCAGCCCAGGGCATGATCCTGGGAACCCAGGATCGAGTCCCAATGTCAGGTTCTCTGCATGGAGTCTGCTTCTCCCTCTGCCTGTGTCTCTGCCTCTCTCTCTCTCTCTCTCTCTCTCTCTCTCTCTGTCTCTCATGAACGAATAAATAAAATCTTAAAAAAAAAAAAAAAAAGAAATAACTTCTGTTGTTTACACCAGCCAGTCTATGGTACTTTGTTATATAGCAGCCTAAGCTGACTAAAATGGGTTTTAATATATTATGAGCTATTAAAAAAATAGGGAAGAAATAAAGGTCCCCTGATATGTAGCCTAGGAGCAAGATTATGCCCCTACCAGACAGGTGCCCCCCCTTGAAGTCATCAGAGCCTCCAGTCCACTACTTGACCCAGTCCTAAACAGTACAAAAAAATCCCTCTGCCCCCAATAAGGGTGCTGAGCTGCTAAGGTGCTACTCCTCAGACCCAACAGAAGGCTCGGTCTCATGAACCAGGTTAGCCAAATGCAGATGAACAACATATATACCCAGCTTCCCTCACCCCTCAGTTAAACACACACACACACACACACACACACACACACACACAAACACCTACACACCAGAAAACATTTGGATAATGAGCCTGCAGCAACAAAATAGCTACTTGGGTTTGAATAGTTGCCTTCACTCATTCCATAAAATGTAGGATGTGAGTTGATTTGATATTTCTTCCAGGCAGCTCCTTCAACAACTATACAGTGCCAACATCACATGAACATGCAAAGGAGATGGTTTTCAGTTTAAGAGGGGAAGAAAAACATACCACGCCACTTACTGAGGGTGGAAGAGCGAAGAAATAGGTCATGAAGCAGAGACATGATGTTAAAACCAAACCAAAGAAACACAGGTGAGCTTTTTTTTTTTTTTTTTTTTTTTTTTTTAAAGGGAGAAGCAGGCTCCATGCAGGGAGCCCAACATGGGACTTGATCCCAGGTCTCCGGGATCACACCCTGGACTGCAGGCGGCGCTAAACCACTGAGCCACCCAGGCTGCCCACAGTTGAGCTTTTCTACCTCCCAAGGGATCCTATTACAAAATAAACTGAACTCAGCTCTGAACACCAACTTAGACCATAATGTAACCTGTGGTAAGGCCATCCATCCATGGCACTGGCTACCTACAACTGCTCTTGACTGGGGCTTCAGGCACAGGGTCTGAGGGACTTCTTTAGCATCCCTGGAAAACCTTAGAAGATGGGATCTCAGCTATGTAATGTGGCTACAGCTGATGGTATCCAAAGGTTACCCAATTTCCAAGTTCCCTTGTTATATTCCTGTGATAGGATTATGGGCAATACAAATTCTTCCACAATTTCCAAAATGGTAGGTTATCCTGGTTTAAAATTTTTTAAGAAGTTCTAAGGGACTTTCCGTAAGATATTGGATTTTTAAAAGACTTTTAAAATATGTAAAAAGTGGCCAAATATTGGCTATTTCTTACAGTTCAACCTAGTCATTAAGATCTACATTTGCAGTTTGGTGTCCCAAGATAGTCTTTAAAATTTTTGGAGCAAAAACAATAGAAAATTTTGCCACATGTGACAAAGAGCGATGTGAAGATTTTTGAATGATCTGCAAGCCCCTAAGAAATTAGAACCTATTATTATGGGTAAACTGAGGAAGATGGGAGCATGCCAGAGGCAATACTCTGAAGGCGGATGCTGAGGAGGTCAGACTGCCTGCCAGACCCAAAGGGTACCCACAGGGTGCCAGAACAAGCTGGGGGACGGAAATAGACTCATTGTATTGCTCATATATATATACCTGTGGAACACCCAGCCAGTCATCTGCTTGCTGCATAGCCTCCCGTGCATTGTCCACAGGCTTTTGTGGATCCCATGATTCCCAGTCTGGGCACAGACCTGTTAATATAACACAAAAGATTCTGTAAGTATTAGCTGACTGAAGAGATTAAAGGAAGTCATGTGCTTAAATTAAACCCCCTTGGTATATTAATTCAGAAAACAATTTCTTCCAAAAATCATAGTCAATTATATATCTTAAGGGCAAAAAGCAACACAGATAGGAGTATGCCAGTATTCTGAGACTAAGCTGAGACTTCTTCAGGCTGTCATTCTCTTGCATTAACATAGAGATTATCCATTCCTTGAAGGTGTGGTATAAATAAATAAAGCCTGTAAAACTATTTGGGCCTCGTGCCTTTTTGCAGATTTTTTTTCCTCCTACCACCTTCATACTTCTGCTTTGGTCACCAAATGTATAGGAGCCACACCAGCTGCATATCCTACAATTTAACTCAAATCTAACATTACCTATGTGGAGATAGTGTCAGATCCCACAGATGAAGGGTTAAATCCTGTAAGACTGCCTGCCCCCTTGCTCCACTTCAGATGCCAACTGCAAGTCCACGTTGTCACCTGGACTTCTAACAAACCAGCTATAAGTTGGAGGTTCCCACAACTCTTCCTCAATTCACTTACTAGAGTGGCTCAGAGAACTCAGGAAAACAGTTTAATTGCTAGATTACTGATTTATTATAAAAGGATACAATTCAAGAACACCAAGCTGAAAGAGATGCACAGGGCAAAGTATAAGAGAAGGAGTATGGAGCCTCTATCCCCTTTCCAGATGTGCTACCCTCCTTGTACCTCCACATGTTTACTAATCCAAAAGCTCCCCAAAATTTGTAGTTCAAGAAATTTTACAGAGGCTTCGTTATGTGAGGGAGGCATGACTGATTAAATCACTGGCCATTAGTGATTAACTCAACCTCTAGCCTCTGCCCCCTCCCTGAAGGTCAAGAGGTGGGGCTAAAGGTTCCAACCCTCTAAGCACTTGGTTGGTTCCCCTGGCCCCACCTCCATGCTTAGGGGTGGTCCAAAAGTTATCTCATTAACAAAAACTCAGGTCTGGTTGCAAGGAATCATTATCATGGCCCTTATCATTCACAAAATTCCAAGGGTTTTTGGAGCTCTGTGCCATGAAAGGGTCAAAAACCGAAATATATATTTCTCCTTGTAAGTCACAATATCACAATCTCACTCCTAGATACATCTAAAAAGACTATGTTAGCATCTGCAGAATTCAAAAATCCACGTGCGGGGATACCTGGGTGGCTCAGTGGTTGCGCACCTGCCTTTGGCTCAGGGTGTGACCCAGACTGCCAGGATCGAGTCCCACATTGGGTTCCCTGCATGGAGCTTGCTTTTCCCTCTGCCTATGTCTCTGCCTCTCTGTCTCTCATGAATAAATAAAAAAATCTTAAAAAAAAAAAAAAAACCCACATGCCCCAAAGCCCAAACCTAGAATCATCTTTAAAACCTTCATCAGCAGGGATGCCTGCGTGGCACAGCAGTTGGGCGCCTGGGATCATGATCCTGAGATCCGGGATCGAGTCCCACATTGGGCTCCCTGCAAGGAGTCTGCTTCTCTCTTTGCCTATGTCTCTGCCTCTCTCTCAGTTTGTGTCTCTCATGAATAAATAAATAAATCTTTAAAAATAAATAAATAAATAAAACTTCATCAGCAAAAGAAGTATAAGACTGAAGTACATATCCACGAGTTTAAACTGGTAAAGAGATATCTTAAAATGTGTCTGTGCGTGGAAGCAAGGAAGAAAATGTCAGGAAATTAACTAATGCTGAACTCTGAGTTAGTTCTGGCTAACATCAGCTTATAGGCTCTCAGGGAAGAATGAGGCCTGAAGTCAGTCCTCCCTTCCTATCCAATCAGACTAGCCAGTTCTGCTTGCAGCATGTTGAGAACCATTAGTTTACTAAAAACTAACGTGACCAGCTATACAGAATATCCATAAATGGAAAATATGATTATTAGAGTCAATTTTTTATTAGAAACTATTTTGGGGGTGCATATAAATACAGGCTCTGGTTTTTCTACTGAGCATGTACCAGCAAACTCTACCCATCAATCTAAACCCTCCAGTGAGGATAATTACAACCTTGATGTACACTCAACCACTCACAAAAGGGTGGAAAAACCTCCAACTGGATCCTGACCAAACACTATTTCATAGCAGTGCAGGGTTTTTTTCCTGCAAAAAAGGGTGGAGGAAGCCATATACAGTCAACCCACTGGTTGATAAAAATGGGTACTTTCCGCTCAATGAAGTTTTTAGATTTTCATGCCAAGTCAAAGAACAGGGTCACGTGTTTCTGCTGAAGTCAATGGGAAACCAGGCACCAACTGTGGGAAGAAGCAGGACTTTCGAGTCTGAAAGCTAAACCAAAGCCTGCTCCAAGAGCTATGGGCTTCATTGGGAATTTGGGTAAACAACTGAGTTCAATGCTCAAAAAGTCAATGGATACACCTAGAAGGTAAACAGAGCTATTCTAAGTTCCCTCTGTTCTTACGATGGGCTAAAACCAGGAGAAGACACCAATCCCAGCAAACCCAGCTTTCCCAGTGGAAAGCCCAAGAGGCTTAGGGCTCACAAAACCCCATCGTGAGGAGATGGTTCAGGCAGCCCCAGACACTCACCTGGAGCACAGCTGTCTACTAAGGCTCCCAGAGCCTTGCCATCTTGCCAGTTCTGGTTAAAGTTGGTGATGGGCAAGTAGGGGATCTTGTTCTGAATCCATCCCAGCAGCCTCTGCTTTGGTGTCTGCTTCTTGGCATCGTCATCCCCTTCATCCTCCCACACGGGCATGGAGATTGAGTAGTGGAGGATCAGTGTCCACACCAGGCCCAAGATGAGCTTCAGGTTCCCATCCACGATGGCTTTGCTATCTAAGGAGAGAGGTACAGGCTTGGGTTGGCATATTCCTCTGGGTTCTAAATTAAATCCTCATCTGTTAAAGAACCACACAGAACTACTCCAGAGTGAAAGTATGCAATGTTAGAATATGCTTCAGAATACTTGACGGGAAGAGTTCCAATATGCTTACCAGTGCCATTCGATCATGGGTATACATGAGAACGCATAAGACTAGTATCCCTACTTTTGTATATGTTTGAAATTTCCCATAATAAAAAGAGCTTTTCAATTTTAAAGAAATAATTTCAGAAATACAGACAATAAAAAAAACGGTGGTTGAATTCCAGACACAACCATCTGTTAACTCGATAGAACGTGATCTATTAGATTATATGTGCGTATATATATGCGTGTTTGCTGCCCTAAATTTATATTATACTATATAATGTGTCTTGAAATTTTTCTTTTCACTAATCGTTATGGCTTATATCTTTTCCCTATAAAAAGTTGTTTCTGCTGACACTCCCAACTATAGGTTTAAGAGGCCAGTTTCTCCTCAAATCTCACCATCACTGGGTGTTACCATTTCCATCTCTGCTCTTCTCACAAGTTAGTCATTTATAAGATAAAGTCCTTAATAGTTAAACTAATCCAACCAGGCAAAGACTCTGTTGCCAAGAGGTTAAGTGTCTGGCCCAAGGTCATCATGTCTCCTTTCTAGTCCACTCCCAGCTAAACAGAACACGCCAAACCCAGGCCCCTTCTAGGAATCCTCTAGGAATCTCACTGCTGCTGGTTTTTATCTTCTACTCTTGGCTTCTCTGCGGCCCTCTGTCCTGGGTCTCTTTCCAAACTCTACCTATGTCATCAAAATACGAACATTATCAACAAAATCTCCTCCCTCTTTCATTCTCTCCTCCTCTACCTCCCCCCTCACACTTCCCCATCTATTCCCCCATATCTAACTTTCTCCCTCTGCATCCTGCCCATACTTCCCCTCTCAACTATCTCCCCATCTGTCTCCCCCTCCCCACACACTTCCCTTCCTATCTACACCCCATCTCTCTCCCTCTCTCTGCTTTCCGCTACCTCCTCCATCTCCTCCACCCTTTCTCCACCAAACTCCCCTGTTGCAACCTCCCCCTCCCCATTCTAGACCCTAAGCTGAAAATGTTAGAGCCATCTTTGAGGGATTTCTCCCTCAAACCCAAGGTTGTCGTTTCTACAACATTTCTACCTACATCTATTGGCAAATCCTTTTCTCCACCTTCCCAGTAAATATGTGGCTCCTCCTCCCCTTTCTCAGAGTCCTCAACAGCCATAAAACTGAACTGTGTTCACATACCCTCAGGACTATCTTTCTAATCAGGTATTTCTGTGCTTTCAAATTCACCAATGGTCCGGACTGCCCCACATTCAAACTCCTTAAACACACAGCACTCTCAGAACCCCCAAACTTAACCTGCTTTTTCACCCGTCACCCCCTCCCACCATAGTTCACACTCCAGACTCAGAGACCCCTCATTCCTGGACCACATTCTGCCTCGAACCCCTTGGACCTCTTCCTGTGATCTGTATTCTCTTTGAGGGGGAAGACCCTTCACCCCATCCTCCTGTGGGATAATCCCTAGCTCATTCAAGGGCCAGATCCAACAGTTGGTGGTGCTTCACTCCCACCAGCACATGTGTGACTGTGCCACAGCCCCCTCAAGACAAAAACCAAGCCTCTTGAGCCCCCATTCCAGGACTATGAGCACCTGCTAGGGAGTAACTGAGCCTTTGTCATCTCAGAGCTCTTTTTACCCTGTCCCACCCACCCACCCACCACAAACCACCTGAATGTCGGTTAAACACACGCCAGCTTGCACTTAATGAAACCCAACTCCAACCACATGAGAAATAGACACACATGCTGATAAGGAGTAAAGAGCATGCCACTTAAAATCAAAAGGGTGGAGGCTTTTTTTTTAATGAACCTGTTTATTGTCAGTCCTCTTACAAGAAAAGATCCTCTTAAAAGGGCACACCCAAACCCACAAAAACCAAAGGTAGTTTCATGGTTGCAGATTCAGTCATGAAAAAAGTTGATCATGTCAAACTGTACAGAGTAAAGATTATCAGGAACAGCTGGTAAGACAATCTATATTCGAGCACTCCTCACTCAAAGTTAAGGTGCCCAGAGATTTTCTCTGGAGTGAACTGTATAATAACTTTTAAGCAGGACAGTCCATGTAACACTCGAGGCCCCGCCACAAATGAAAATACAAGACTCCTTGTCCAAAAAGTATTCAGCATTTCAAGCACAGAACCCTTCTCAGGGAAGGGTCCTATAGTGCATGACCATGAAGCCACCTCTATCTACTTCTGAGGTCCTATGGTCAATAAAGAAGCAAGCATCTGCATAAAACACTTGACCGTGCACAGAACTTGGACAGTCAAGGAATTCATCCCACCAGACCATATGTTTCTCAAAGTGACAGTCCTTGACTGTGACAGAATTTTTTTGATTAGATGTCCTGTTATAAGGTTGTCTTTGAAGTGCTATTGATTACGGAATTACTACCTACCACTCATAAGAAATTCCAGGTCAAATGATTTTCCATGCCAGTTTCCTTTATTCAAACTAAAGGGAAAAGGGCAGTCCTCAGAAGGTGGCGGGTGAGAACACGAGGAGAGTAAAGTTTGAGTGTGACCTAACGATTACGTTAGGGTACCCATGGTGGACCAGGTAGGGTCTGGTCTTACACCAGGCAGGATCTGAACAAGCCAAAAAGTCTCATACAGCCACAAGCATCAGACTGCAAAATTTAACTTTCCTGAATTATGTGTTAAACGCTTTTCAAATGCAAACTTGCAGATCTTATCCATAAATCAAAACATGAAACCAGTTTGCTCTATTTTTACCAGCTTACACATGTTGGTCTAAAGGAATGAGACATGAGTCTTTTTTGAAAAAGATTTTGGGGGAAATATGACCCAGTAAAAGTCTGGGCCAAATTTATGAAAAATACAATGCCCAGAACTTCTGTTTCCAATGAATTCAAAGTGGGTGTCCAAACGGGAAAGCCCCCATTAAGGTCTCATTGGGATAAATGATACTTTGGTTCTGCTATTCTAAGAAGCTGGAGAAAGAACAGTCCTTGTTCCAAAAGTGATTTTGACAGGTGAAGGTTCAAATGCTTTACCGAACTCTTGGAACAATAAAAAGATGGCAACTTGCCCAAAAGGTCTCCCTCTTTCCCACCCACATGAAACAGGAGACTCCCAATGCCTTAAAAATGAAATGCTACACAGCATTACAGTGTCAATGTCGGACCATCGCAGCAGACTACAGGATTTTCAAATGTGAGTGTACTCTGTGATGTTTATGTCGAATATAAACACGGAACAGAAATGTAAAAGGAGGAAAGGCCAAGTCAACTGGAAGACTCTCTGGCAGGATTCCACCTCATTGAGAGCCTCTTTCTAGAATAAAATAAGCCAACACCCGCCACGCCTGCCGGACCTCCTAGAATCTGCTTAGATTGTTGGTGGGTTGGAACCTGGCCACAGGTTTCTCCTCCCCAGATCCAACCAATCACAGCTCCCATGTAACTGGTCCTGGTTCTGGACAACACTGACCCTCAAACCACACACACCCTCTGGAACTACTTAAAATGATCCAGCATTGCTTCTAAGTGAGGGCAGCAGCTTTTTTTCTTTCTTTCTTTTTTTTTTTTTTTTAATAGCTAGAAAGTTAATTTGAGCTACTGCAAATTCTAGGATGGAATGTCTTCACGTCACTTCTGTACACCGGTTCCTAAGTCCTCTCTGAGCAGTAGTCGGGAACGGGCACACTTATGGAATGGTGGTGGGGGGAGCCAGCTATTTTTAGGCAATCTTTGGAAGCATCATGGAAACATCTACTATGTAGACAAGTTCCTCTGAGGAAGGGAGATGGTGCTCTTTCCCTCTCTCATATCAGGAGGGCAGGATCCATGCAACCAGTGGCATGTGCCTGCCACATTCACTGTGCCCACCTCCCCTCCCATTACTGAGAGCAGCATGGTGGGAGGCTGGGAGGAGAGGCCTGAGTGAACACCATCCCACATTTCTGCTCTCCTAAGAACAGCAGGTCATCCATTAGCCACAATGCAGCAGCTTGCTGCTAGGTCAGAAACAGCTAACACAGGACTACAGGAATCAAGGAGATGTAGACATTTCAGAAAAGCTCCTTCTAGGATGCTTGGGGTAAAGCACCCAGGCCATACTCCATGATTTGGCCTCCTAGAGAAGAAGAGTTGGCCACATACTCTGCTCCTCACCATCTCATCTCTGTTACCCTCTGAGAGGCAGTTGTGGCAACAATGGTTGCAAGGCTCTGGAACCCGCGGTTCAACTAGCTATGCCACTTTGAACAATCTGTTCGTCATTTCTGGGCTTTACATTTCCTCATTTACCAAATGGAAATGATCACAGTCAACACCTTTGCTGTTAGGAAGGAGCAGGTGGGTTCTAGAATGCCAAGAGTTGAGTACAATGCCACGTATGGGGTAGGTGCTTAATATTACCTGCCTCTGCTTTCTTACTCATTCACCTCACAGCTGAATACCTGCCATGTGCCCAGCACACCTCCCCAGAACCAGAAGCCCAGGCCCTATAATCCCAGGTTTGCAGGCAAGATGGAAACAAAAGGAAAGATAGTACCTTATGAATTAAGAGGAGGAGGATATGTTCAGTGTGTCACTTCTCTGAGCCAAGCAATTCATTAGAAGGGTAGTGAGTCTCTGAGATCCCTGCTCTCCTGTTGGAGGAGGCTGACCCACACAGTGCAGTAAACCTAGGACATGGGGTAAGTACCACGGGGACACTTCAGCGCTTAGTGCTTTAGGGAAACCAATATGGCCTGAGATTCCCCAGATAGACAGATAGACACCAAGAACCATCCAGGAACTCAACTACTGATAATTTGCCAGACGTCCCTGAAAGAGAATATGGTACAAAAAGGAGCCCAAAAGAGTCTGGCCCGTTCCTGACTTCTCAACTTCACATT